GTACCGGGAGCGGCCCCTCAAAGTCGAACGACGCTCATACCGGTGCCGGGAACTACGTCTGGAGTCCGATCGGTACCGATGATCGTGACGGTGCCGAGACGTAGAGCGGTGCCGGGAAGAAGACCTTGGCCGCGAGTACGACCGGTGCCGAGGTGATAGTCGGCGCCGGGACTGCGAGCGGCGTCGGGACCTGCTCCGAGATCTGGAGCGGTGCCGGAAGTCCCGGGCCGGAGACGGCGGGCGCAGCAGGGCAGGCTTGCCCCTGGATTGTAGTGCGCGGGGAGCCACCAGTGCCGTAGGTGGAGGCGGTGCCGGCTCCGTGAGCGCAATAAGGTCCCTGGCCGTCGCAAACGTCTCCGGGGTGGAAGGGAGACAGGGCTCCACCACCGACCGAGGTGGTGATTCTGTGTGCACCGGACTCAACGGCCGCGGCGCCGGAGTCGACGGTGCAGGAGGGACTTGCTTCTGTCGGTCCGCAGACGGACGCGGCTCTACCCCCGGCACCGGGGGAGCCGGCGTCTTCAGGACAGCAGTCTCCTGCGCCTTACGGGCTTTCTTGTGGCCCGGAGATATGGACCGGCGCCGAGTCCCTTGTGGCGGGTGCGGTGCCGAAGGCGGCCGGTGCCGTGAGGACTTGTCTGATTCAGCCTGCGGTGCAGTACCGGTCGGAGCCGCCGGGGCGCTGCGCACCGAGGCGCTCGGCGCCGGGGCTGGGAGCGCCGAGGGAGGATCCGGGCTAAGTGCCGCCTCCATTAGGAGCTGCCGAAGCCTAAAGTCCCGCTCCTTTCTCGTTCTCGGTTTGAAGGCCTTACAGATCTGACACTTATCTGCCTGATGGGATTCTCCGAGGCACTTCAGACAGGAGTTATGCGGGTCGCTCGTCGGCATAGGCTTAGCGCAGGACGCGCACCGCTTAAAGCCAGGAGCCTTGGGCATGAGCCAGGCTATGCGCCGGGGGAAAAAGGGGGGAGAACAACCCCCTTAACCCCCGCTAACTATTTACAACTATATCAAAACTATAATGAATAACTATCTAAAGAGTAAAAACAACTATAACTAGAACTATCTACAAGAATTGAAGGATAAGCTAGTGAGAGTGGAGAACAGCTATGCCGTGCTCCACAGTTCCAACGACCGTCAGGGGCGGTAAGAAGGAACTGAGGGGGCGCTGGGTCGGCTGGGGTATATATCCAGCGCCATGAAGGCGCCACTCCAGGGGGCTCCACAGCCGACCCACCGGGTGTTGCTAGGGTAGAAAATTCTCCGACGATCGTGCACGCGGCGCGCGCACACTTAATTGGAATCGATATGAGCAAGCACTCGAAGAAGAACTTTCTATGCCATTATTTTCAGTTGCACAAGTGATGATTTATCATCAGACAGCCTTCATATTGATCAGTAATACTGCAGCTCAGCTGAGAATATGCAAATGGGCCTTACCATTGTGTAAAGAAACAAGTATTGGGATACACCTTTAAGAGAAGAAAAAATTCTTTACTGCTTGGTATTAGTCAACAATCCCTGCACTTCTATATTATCCCTAGTTTCAGATGTGATTCATGAGAGAATTGGTAACGTGTATATTCAGTTTTCCTGCATCATTAAACAATTGCACCTTGCCCTAAAGCATGAAAGATTCCCCTACACACATACCTGGCATCTGCTTCAATTTTGCAAAGGGAAAATCATTTTCAAGTAATATCTTGCTTTGAAATGAGTCCAGTGTGGGTGGTTTTATAAACCTAGTGAGAGCATAACATGATAATTACACTGATTTACAATATAGACCAGGGGTCAGCAACCTTTCAGAAGTGGTGTGCCGAGTCTTCATTTATTCACTCTAATTTAAGATTTCGCGTGCCAGTCATACATTTTAACCTTTTTAGAAGGTCTCTTTCTATAAGTCTGTAATATATAACTAAACTATTGTTGTATGTAAAGTAAATAAGGTTTCAAAATGTTTAAGAAGCTTCATTTGAAATTAAATTAAAATGCAGAGCCCCCCGGACCAGTGGCCAGGACCCAGGCAGTGAGAGTGCCACTGAAAATCAACTCGCGTGCTGCCTTCGGCACGGGTGCCACAGGTTGCCTACCCCGATATAGACAAGGTATGTCCAGCCATATCCCTTTGATTGGCCTCTCATTTTAAGGACAAACTAGTGTGGGATCCAATACTGCCATGCCCAGTTTTGGATACCATTTATATGTGACTAATACTCAGATTGCAATAGGGCACACTGCAAAGTAATCTAGTACTACTCCATCAAGTACAAGAGGTTGTCCCAAAAAAAAAACACCTTTCCATAAAGCAAGCTTCTGAGAAGGAGAAAATGCCCCTAATGTCAACTAGAGGAAAAAACAGAGGTGAGGAAAAGGTATTACTATCCCCTTACTATCATCCACACTTTGTAAGCTCACTCTTAACTGTATATAGCTCACACAACCATTTTTCTGGTTCCACATATTTATCCTACCTAGCCTTTTACTTGACTGCCTGGCAAAGCTGAAAAAGTTGCATGGCTGACCTTTTGCCAAACCACAGCACTTCCTCTGACATTAAAGGAAACGAAATCCCCACAGTGGCAGTGAGCAGTAGTCATAGGACCCACAGAGGATATTGTCCAACATGCCTTATGATATCTGGCCTCCGTCCTGGTGTGCAGAAACTACCTCTCTTCCACAGGGAACTTCAAGGTTTTAGAAAAATTGTGTGCACCTCGCCTGAGGGAAAGGCCAATGCTATTTGTCATGTTAACCATCTAGCAGGATCTCTTCCTGAGACAGTAAGAACTACCCAACTTAAGAAAATGGAGAACTGTGCCCCTGAAATGCCATGGCACATATAACCTGACTCTAAATGGGTCCCTTCCCACTGAGCTCCTGTTTTGACATTGTTAAATTATCTGAGTGGGTATTTCACCTTTACAAGCTTTTGAATACAGTCTAGTATTCACATTACAGTAATCTCATAATCACCACCAGGGCCCTGCTCTTAGTGCTGTACGAAAGTAAAGTGAGACCTGCACCCTGCCTCAAAACTGCTTATAACCTGGGGACAAGAGGCAATAAGTGAATAACAAAAGGGGACAGGGAGTGAAGACAAACGAACAGTTATATCATGTGGTTAAAGACTAACCATTTACACAACTTGATAGGTCCAAATTAGACTTCAAGAAATATTTTAAGGAGCCACAGCAAGTGGTAGCCATCTGTGTTCCCTTAACATCCGCTCCCATCCCCAGGAGAGAGTGACCTAAGCCCACTACCTATAGTTTTTCTTCATTCATTTGCTTTGCCTTCTAGATAGGCCACTCCCCAATCTCCCATTTACCTGACATCATTAGCCCTTTATTTAAAAAAGATGCAGACTGTTCCCACAACTCTAAGAGGATGAGCCCCTTTAGGGAATTAGCATCTCTGAAATTTCCAATAAGTGGAGTTTTAGAAGAGTATCCTTATGCCAGGGTCTTTCATTATTCCTTGGGCGATTCATCATGGATATGTGGCATAGCATTGGTTTGTTCTAGGTAGGAAGTACAGCTTGAGCTCACTTTGCTTTTGCCCATTATGATTAAAAGTATGTGCACAGATATTTCTCGTATTTAGAAAACTCTGAGATCTGTGTCTTTTACAAGGGTGGCTAAGCTTCATTATCCTCGTTTTACAGCTGTAGAAACCGAAAGAGAGGGGTTGTGAAGTTTTTACAGAAGATCAACACCACACCCAGAATAGAACTAAGTTTTTCTTAATGGTAGTCCAGTGCCCTATTCAGGGACTACCTTCACAGAAAGATGTTCATATACTGATATGGACTGTGCTGTATTTTTTATTTGCTCCGTAATTCAGACATGTTTCTAACACAGATTTCAGATTTTACAAGTAAATTAAAATCTGAAGGTGTAACTATTATGGCAAATTTACTGCATGACAGTTATACTTCTGAATCACATCTCACTGAATATTAAAAAAATTAAATTGAAAATCCACAAAGATTAATTTTAGCTTTATTCCAGAAACTGAGAATTTAAAGGGTGACACAGAATTCTTGTACCTTCAGTTTTTAATTAACAGGGATATATATTTTTAAATTTTTACAGTCCAAATCAAGTAACTTGTTTCTGTTTAGTAAAGCAAACATGTAGTCTACAACTTCATTGGATAGTATCTGAGTTAACTGAAAAATCTAAATGGATGATTTAATCTTTAAATGCTGTTGAGTTACTTTACATACACAGTACTGGAAAACTGAAATTTGCTTTTGATGAGTATATTGGTGAGTTGCTATTGAGTGATAGTTTGTATTACTAGTTCTATCTGCATTTATGGAAAATTAATAATTTTATGTAATTATTAGAACTAACTTGGATATAGTGTTAAAAGGAAGCACATGGAGAAAAGGATTTTACCTATGGTATCCGGAAGAAACCATTGAAACAAATTAGATTAGCTCCAAGTATTATATAATGTAGCCTATAAATATATTTTAACAAAATTACTTCAGTACAAGTAGTTCCAACTAGCCTCAGTTCGGAAATGTTTAAGGAAACAACATTCTTTTAACAGATCCTATTCCACAATCACTTGTATTCCTCTACTTTCCCTTTCCAAGACCTTAAGAACCTAATTCAAACCTAAGTATGTAAATCACATTTACATTTAGTAATCTAGGTAATTTAATGAGATTGAAAACACAACACTCGGTGTAACCTCAGTTCTACATTGTCATCTTCCAGAAGAAAATTAAACACAGGATTAGCAAAAGATTAGCAATCTTAGCAAAATAATTGTACCAAGACTTACTACAGTAACACTATACAGGAAATACTACCAGCTGGACATGTTCATCTGTGCACAGGGAACATGGAGCTTATTAAAATAGCAGTCACAACAAGAGGATCTGTTAGACGCTAATCAACCTTGACTAAACAGAGAGTAAAGAACTAAACCCGGGGAAAGCCACAGAAACCCTTACCAAAAAATCATGCCAAAAGCACACTTACCTAAATGTAAGAAGTCTGAGCTGGAAGAAGGAGGTGGTGCGCTGTGTGTGGAAGGAAATATACTAGATGTAGATGTTGCATTTGGATTAAGAAAGTCTCCAAAGAGATCAGGACCAGACAGAGTCGGCTTCTCAGATCCTGATGACATTGTGAATGGGTCAAACGGATCAGCTAAAGAAAGAGGCAGAAAACAAAATTATCTTGAGGGCAGGTGTTACTGCAAATAAAATCACAGGAAAAACTTACTTACACCCTCTTGGGCAGGGGCAATAAGGTGAGGTCATGGGTGTCAACTGACGAAGGCTTTTGAAGTTTCTCTTCTTTCTGGCAGGAGACAACAATCGGTCCCTGCCCCCAGACATTAGTACTTACATGCTATTAGACAAGCAGAGCATTTCAGCCAATCACAGCCAAGGAAAACAATTATCCCTTCCAACGTAAATCCTTACTGACACTGTATAAAAATTCAGCCACAACGCTAGTTTTCTCTACACAAGCCATTCCCTCAATCTTGAGTCATTCATTTCAGATCAGCCCACATTTATCCAAAAAGTCACATTAGTAGGGAGATCTAAAAAGAAGTCAGCAACAAGATAGGAATCCCAGAGCCCCAGATAACAAATTGTAACCAAAGTGGGTTGTTAAACTAGCAAAAACAAAACAGAACAGCCCCAGTACAAGGAAGGCATGACTAAAGGTGATTCATGTTCATCGTGCTGACACACGAGCTGGAGAAGGCAGCAGCACAGTGTCCAGGAGGGAGCTACTTCAGTGACCACTGGCAGGGAGAGAACTAACTGGAACAGTAGCTATACCCAGCAGGGGATGGCATGTGATGGCCAGCAAGAGGCTTGGCTCAAGTTCTGCCCTGTACCAGTTGCCCTCAAGGGTGAATGAACTTCAAGAACTAAGGGACTTCTACCAGTCTGACTCCAAAAAACTAGAATCCAGAAGTGATAATCCAGCCCTGATGTGTCTTTAGATAACATGATTATATTGCATATGCTGCTGTAAAGCATGTTATCCTGAACACTGAATCTCATGCATATACAGCCTGCCTTTTGCTTCAGCATGCAGGTACAGAATCTCAGACATCGATCTGACTTAAGAAGGTAATATGCAAGTTGAAAAAACCAGTAGAAGCACCAGATATACTCATTCCCGTAATTCAACAAAACTACTATACGACTGTTACTTTCTTTATATAATGTAACAATAGGTTGAGGTGCATTTCTCAGTGCTTTCCCACGGCTAACAAGGGGCGCATAGTCAAAGGATAAACTACACTGACTATAACTTTTATGGACTCCTGCCAATGAGAGAAAATGCTAAACCTAAATAATTTGATTTATTCAAACAAGTCAGCAATAATGAAGCAGGAAATAAATATTTCAGGGATCACATAAGTTATCTAGAATGCAGCAATGTAGCATGTAATTCTAGCCTTCTGTCCAAATCTGATGATTTTTGTGCATTTACGTCAGATCCCTTAACCAATTCCCAAAGAAAATGATGTCATTGTAACAGGGATATTTTAGAATGACATTTACAGTGATGAACTGGAAAAAAAAATTGGGTTGAAGGAACATTTAATACTACATTCAGCTTGAAGGAATTCTGCACTCTAGAATTACGACTAGTTCTAAATCAGGAATAAAACTGATGGATCCTAGTCCTTTTAGCCCTCTTAATAAAGGAAAGCGGGACTTCTATTACATAAATCAAAATAATTTGCGTTCTGAAGATCAGGCAGTTGGTAAGGTTTTGCTTAATTGTATATTCTCCTTGCACTTTAGTCTTATGTAGGTGCGGATGCTGAATTACATGAGGATCAAGACCTACCACTGGCCCAGTCCTGGCCACACATTGTCAAAGAATCGGACCAGTAACATCCAGTAGTTCCTTAATGAGGTGTTAGTAACACTTCTTGGAGCTCCTGTCTTGTGACAGGGATAAATGACTGTATACAAGTGCAAGACTCAGTAATGATCGAGTTGTCGTCTTTCACTCAAAGCTGCTATTAACCTCTGGAAAACGTGAGGAAGAAATGGGTAATCACCCTTTCATGTCTTGGCAATGTAAGTTCTATGTACTTGGATCCAGAGATGAACATAAAACAAATCAACACTTTTGCATGCAGGACAGCACAAAGTTTTGCTTTTGCATGGATTTTTTTTTAAAAACAAAGTGAGATGAATTTGTGTAAAACTCAGCTGAAGCTGTACTTCAAAGTCGTGAAAATAGGGAAAAATGCAACACTGCCAATGTCATATTTTGAGTAAAGGTGGCTTTCAATGAAGGTTGTAAACTTGAACCATGTGAAAAGCTGCTAAGTGTTATGAAGCAATTATTCGGTCATAAGAAACAGACCTTTTACTATGTACTTTGTCTAAGAATTATGTGCCCCTTTCGCAGATTCTGATGACAGATTGGAACAGAACTTTTAGATATAGATCAAAACAGGGTACTAACATAGTGTACAAACAGAAAAATAGTAAAGCAGCTAATAATTATTGCCTCATTCAGTTATTCACACTATATCACAATTCCGAAGTAGAGAGAATTGAGTTACATACCAGCAGAAGGCAATGTTGTGGGTGGAGATGTACTCTGGTTACTGGCTGACGGCTGAGGTTGACTGCTGAAAAAGAAGTCTGCCCCTTCGCCTAGAAGGTCCCCAGTAGACTCTTCTGAAACCTGCGACGTGCTACCCACAAACAAATTGTTCAGTAAGTCTGCGTTGCTAGATGAGCTCTTCATCTCTGAGGCAGTTTGATTCTGCTCTGATGGAACATCAGAGTCTAGTCCCAATAAATCTACGTGGTCTTCCAACTGAGGTTCTTGTGGTTGGGCAGATGGAGTTTCAAAATTAGCTTCAAAAAATATATCTGCATCTTCTTCTGGAGGACTGGGTTTTTCTTTTTCTTCAACTATTTCTGTTCTTCCTTCACTAGGAAATGCAGCAAATTCTTCATCTGATGGGTCACTTTCATCCCTGTCACCAATCAGTCCAGGATGATTATCTTTGGACAAGCGGTCCTCTGCTCCAGGCTCTGGATCTCTTCCTTCTATTGAATGAATAAAAACAGATTTATCTTTTTATAACACCTTTAAGTTAACAGAATTCTCCTGCTCAACAAGGAGAAACCAGGTTCAAGTGCCAGGGTCTGAACTTAAAGTTCCTTGCACAAGAAGGCTCAGGGGGCAGGGACAGAGAAGTGAAGTGCCACTAGCTTGCCCTGCTCAGAAAAGGGGGGGCGGAGGGCGGGGGGAGAAGAGAAGCTTGTTTTCCTGCAAGTTTATCCTCCAGCCACTAGAGGCCACGACCGCTGCTACTGAGCACTAGCTACAAATGCCGCCCTCCCATCCCCGGCCCCTCGTGTCCTTCCATCCTCAGAGGCAAATACCCCCCTTCCCATAGACAAAGCCAAGGGAGCAAAATGGCTCTGCCTGCCAGGAGCACACGGACCGGAAATGTGAATAAGTAGTATATTCCTCCACCACTCAACATGTGCAACTATTAACGCTGCACAATTAAAGCAAACCCTTTGTGCTGGACAAGGAGATATGATCTGAGCTGAGGACAGGAGTGAGACACTGGGGAAGAGCCTTCAGTCTGACACTCCCCTTTGGGACACTGAGTAAATGATGGTTTACAAGGGCTTTGTATTATACTGCTGCTCTAAAATCAGTAGTAACGCTGTCACCAATGGCACCCCAGCAATTTTGCTGTCAAGTGCTGGGGAAAGCCAGGAACAGCGTGGAGACACAGGGCTCTCGGAAAACACCAGAGCAGGCAGGCCATGTTTTCAGTCCAGACCTACTCAGTTCAACCCATGCCAGAATTTCTTGGCCACTCCACCTGCTTGCTTTGCAGCCAGCATCCACAAAGGAAGGGGGAGGATACAGCCCTGCCTCAGTTTGATTTGTGAGCAGCAGTGTATACCTATTACCTTTACTTTATGCTGATTTGGAGATCCCAAATGAAGCTGGACAGCAACATTCGCAGACCTGAAAAGCTCAGTCCTTTTTAAATGGTTTTTACTTGCACTCTGATGAGGCAACACACAAAATTGAAATAATCATGATCTGTCCCTTTGCTTCCATTATGTAACAATGTGCCAACGCTGGAGCAATCCTTGCAGGTGGGGGAGAGACAACTGAAGTATTGCACAAGAGATTAGTCCTTTTGGTAAAGAATTAGTAACTTCACCTACCTTCCCAATCCAGAGTATGGAAGAAGTTATTTGCATCAGTGCTGCTGCTCTGTGGAGAGTCCGGCTCTGTGGGTGTGCTTTCGGGAGACTGTTCCAATTTGGACTCTTCTGCTTCGTACTGTGCTGTTGAACCTGGCTGTCTAGGCAGCTCAGGTTTACCTGTCAGATGGAATTTCAAGCCAAAAACCTTAGACATACAGTTCTGACACTGGAAAAATTCAGATTGTGTCAATCCAAACATGCAGCACGTGGTATCTTACTCAAAAACATATCAAGGTGGCAGTCAGGAAATAACTCTTGGTTGGATCTCATGAGCAAGCTGCTAGTCTCTGTGTAGGGAAAAGCCCATACAGCTGTGAATTTAGGATGGAGTTTTAACCCTGATTTCAGCCACACACTTAACAGCTGTGAAATTAAATTAAGGTATAAGACTTAATATTCTAGTAGAGTTTTGTGTCCTATATTTAAACTGATGTGACTCTACTCAAGTCAGTTGCCATCAATTTCTGGTTCTTTACTGCATACCAGTAACACTCTGAAGATATTACAAAATAGACCAAGGTGGACAGGAGGGCTGTGAACAAATCACAGCCATTTCAAAACAGGACACAGAAAGATCGTTCCGTTTCCCTTCTCCCACAAAAAAACCAAAAAGAACAGGTTCAATGAAACTCATAGAAAGTACTTAAAGTGTAAGGCAACAACAGTGTACCACTGATCTAGGATACAAAGCTGTCAACTTCAACTTGGAAGCAGGTGAGTGACAGCACCCTGCTCATGCAGGAATTGGTCATTTTCCTTACTTCAATGTCAGGTGCTGAGCTGGAGGGATATTGTCAGAAGCTAGGGAAGATTGCCTTATCAATGGCTCTGTAGTCTCACACAAGAACAAGAGCTCCATGCCAAATCGAAGAGTGGACACCTAACTGGCGAGAGTTTTAGCATGGGAATTACTTCATTTTGGAAAGAATGAGGTGCATACATGGAAGTAAGTTGAATTATCGAACACAGAACAAAGTATTTAACTTGGTGAACACCCCACATCTGCTCTGTACATCGCAGTCTGTAAGGGTGCATCTACACAAGGTGGAGGTGTAGTTTTCAACTCAGTCTGATTGAGCAACCATGCTAAAAATAGAAGTACAGCTGTAGCAGCGGGATAGGCTAGCCACCCCAGTACCATCCTGCCGAGGACCCTAAGCATGTACTCAGAGCAGCTAGCCCGCCCCCACCCTAACTATGTTCTTATTTTTAGTGCGCTAGCTCAAAACTAGTGTGCATACGCCTACCCAAAATGACAATTATCCTTCCAGATCAAGTGTTGACATACCCTAATGCCAGCAGCGTAGTGTCTGACTTACTGGAGTGCTGCAATACCATCTTTGTTTAAAAACCAAAAGATTCACAAAAAATACAGTATGGGATATGCTAAACATTGAAAGGGTCCTGCCAACTCAGCTTTGGTCCCATGTTTAAGTTTTGTGAAAACAAATTTATGAAGATCTAAGAAAAAACAATAACATTTTTTATCTTAAATTTCAATTAAAAAATATATTTTCACCTCCAGTTTTTCAAACCCAAACATTTCAGGGCTAAGAATCTAAATTAAATCAGCTTCCAGGATTTTCTTTTGCTCAAGAGGAGGCAAATTCAGAAAGTAAAGGAGCATAGTAACTAAGTGATTTTTTAAAAAATTCTCTCACTTTCAATACCAACACCTTAGATTAATGTAAAACAAAAAATGTTGTTCACAATATGATTTAGTTGAGTGTCCTAACTAGAATACAATATAAAAGGGAGATTTATGTTCAGGAAAGAACAACAAGGCTTAATGCAAAATGCCTGGCAGAAATATACTTTTCTAAAAACATATGAAAAAAGGGGAAAAGTGACTATGTTGGATCAAGAGAAAAGTGAGGAAAAAAGCAAATACACTGAGTTAAAAAAGATAAAAGAAGCAGAAAGACAAGAAGTGAGGTCTTACTTATTCTCTAAATACAGCCACGTTAGAGAACATTAAAGAAAGGATGAAGGAGTGGAACATGAAAACTAATGAGACCAAGAAAAAAAGCAAACATTAAGTATAGCAATCCTGGCAAGAATTACTAAAAATATATTCAGAACGAGGAAGTTGGCTAAACAGATAAGATGCAATGTTAAAAAAGTAAGATCCCTTCAAGAACAACTGACACTCACTAATGCAGGGAAATCTTAAGAGAAACAAACCATAACTCTACTGGACTATGCACAAGAAACATCTCAATAACAATATCTTTTGAACTATGGGTATGAAAGGTCACTTATGGAGAATGCTAGAATACTTTGAACTGCATTGATGGAAGTGTAAGCTCAGCTAAGCAGTGAAAGCGGAGGGAATTCTCCCCAGGTTTTGGAGGCGAAGGGCTCAACTGCCAAGTATTTTTGTTTGATGTGTCACTCCAAATAGGGCCTCCAGAGCTCTGGGAAAAGGTGAAAACAGTGCCAATATAGATAAAAAGATTGGGCTAATTACAATCTAGTATTAAGGAAAACTCCTATTCCTTTATAACAGGCAAGGGTACTGCACAGCTCTTCACAAGAATTAAGTTTTCCCTTTTAAAGGTCTGTTTAAAAATTTGTCTGAAAACTAAACAAAATGAGTCCTGAACGGGAATGCTTTAAAAGGATAGGAAACAGGCTAAAGTTTCTAATGCCTCCAAAGTTAAGCTTTACCAAATTTCGATAAAATCTCTTGTTGTTCCTCCCGACTGGAGAAAAGGATCTTGGGATTCAGTCCCTTTATGTTCAAGTTATCCCATGGCGCTCGTTCACTACAGGGTCTGTCTCTGGGCTCCACCTCCACTTCCAGATTCACTTGAAATAAGTCAGGATATTTCTCTTGAATGTCACAAGCATCCAGATCATACCTGTAATATGGCGATGTAATAAAATCACAAATCAAAAATCTTTCAAGGCAAATATTCAATCAGCCCATCAGGTTCACTGTCTTGGACTGCAGCAAGTTAAGTGACTAGTATGTCTATGGAATTGGTGTGCAAAGCATAAAACCAATTGGATTGGGTTACTTTTTCCCTGTTTAATCTCATAGGGATGATTTATTATGAAGAAATTTCAAGAAAACCCCTCATCAAGAGACGCTGAGTCAAAGGAAGTGTGGTCAATCAAAAGCCAGGACTCATTTTGTTAAAAATGAAAGCTATCATTTTCCCACACTAATAAAACATACTCCCCCCCTAGATCTGTTGATCTGGCAAGTAAAATAATTTGAAAAAAGTTTCTGCAAGTTGTGTTCAGCAAAATATTCACATACTTAGCAAATTTCACTGTGGTGGCATTCCGGGGCACAAAACCTGTGTGGAACTGAATCTGGAACATCTTCATTGAAGCCATCTATGGGGAGGAGAAAACATAGGATAATTACATAATTCTGTGTAACAGAAGATAAGGACTCTGTATCTTACTTTCCTTTTGGTGGAAAGCGTTTTTGATATTCATGAAGGCATTCTCTTTCAGTTCAGCTTCTCTAAACATACAATAGCTCCATATAGCATTTTTCTTGGGATGGCTGAATTTGGACTTGTTTGTTTATTTCAATTTTTCAAGTAAGTAGGTAGTATCATTGAAGAAACACCGTCAGAAATAAAGACACAAGGAACCTGATTCTAATCTCACTTACACCTGTACAAATTGGGAAAAGCTTCATCAAAAGCTAGTACAGCATGCTCAAACTCAAGACAAGCAGTGGCAGATTAGCCTGCTGGGAAGCAGGGAAAGCCCCCACGCCCCAACCCCACTACCCGGCAGGAGTGCCAGGCGGGCAGGGCAAGCCCCAACACCCCAACCCCAATCCTCGTCAGCAGCGCTGGGTGGATGGGGGAAGCCCCTGCGCCCCAACCCCGCTCCCCAGCAGGAACGCCGGGAGGGACTGCAGGCAGAAGGGAGGGGGAGAAGTCCTTACTTGCTCTTGCCCAGGGCCCCACAAACCCCTAATCTGCCTCTGAAGACAAGACATAATTCTGTAGGGTAGAACTCTGGATCTTTCAGTAGCCTTTTCAGAATAACTAACACTTACAGAATCCATCTACAGCGTTGAGGGAGAACAGCCTAAAGAGAACTAGATGTATTAATCAAGTGAAAGTTTGTCAGCATCTCAGTACTTATGTTTACACAGTATGTCATGTGTATGCAAGGACTTCTATTCATTTCCTGTGCAATATCCTGGCTGTCAATCTCACACGGGCCAGCATAATAGGGGTTTTTTGAAACTGATCCATGACATCCATCTAACTTATCCAACTCTTCCTTCTGCTGACAGACAAGACGATTTTCCCTTCTGCAAACACCAACGTAAGTAGTTTGCCTTTATTTACACATATACATCAGTCCTGGAAGAAAGGTAGCCAGAAAGTACACAGGGCAATCCATCCTTTCAGGAATCTCAGCCCCTCCGAGACCAAAAGAGAGAGCCAACTCCCCTGCTGCTGCCTGCAATGCTCCCTCTCCAAACACCACTGCTTCTTGCTCAGAGCCATTTACTATGAAGGTAAAACACAGCATGTCTTCAAGACTCAAGAGTTGCTCATACGCTAATTAAAAGAGCATGGAAGATGTATAAAAGCACTATCTGGAGATACCTGCTGTAATATTTGCAACACTATCAAACTCAATCTAAATTTGACTCCGAACTTCAAAAAGGAGTTAAAAAAAAAAAAAAGGATATTTTCAATAAACGTATTGTGAACAGTACAGATCGAATAATCCTCTTTCTTGTTGATGTGTTTGCACTTGATTACGAAGAGCAGCATTTACCAAATTAACGTACATAAACTTAAGGCAAAGCAACATGTTTCATTTTTAGTTTTAACTGCTATTGTAACATCTTCATTTCAGTCAAAATCCATACACCACAACCCAGTTCTACAGAATAACCAAGTGCAATTTGGAAGATCAGAATTGGCAAAGTCACATTAAGGTCAAAACAGGCCAACTCCATTATTGGGGCTGTCACTGCACATATCAGTGTTGTGGCTTGGAGTTCCACTAGGACAAAGAGCTAAAATAGCGAGATCATGGCAATTTAAAATTTCAATGTCCAAGAGTCTTAACGGGTAAGTGCTCAGTACTTTGGAAAGTCAAGCAACTTATCTAGGAGCCTAACTTTACGCACATATTTTTTAAAAGTCTTGGCTTTGTTCAAGAGAGGACAAAATGTCTTACCATACCCTCCTTCCAGTAAGACACTGCTATCCTGGTCTGTGGCTTTTGAAAAAAGTGAAATCAGCTCTACTTATTTTGTAGCCAATAACAGACATTTATAATTTCCAATAGTAACCTTCAGGGCTAGTTCTCCACTTTCAATGCACTGGCAGCAATTTTCATAGTCAACAAATATCAGTGTTCAATTACCAGGAAGTGGGAAAAGCTTCTAAAAAAGGCACCAAGAACTGCTTATGACTGGATAGTGGCCTCCCCCAACATTTAACCAAATGTCATTAAAGCAGCTTCTTCGTTGAATGAGGAGAAAGATTTTTCTGATCTGGCAAGAGTCCAATTAAAATTCCACATGGAAAGCAAGTTTTCCAAATAGATGGTATGTCAGCCACAGGCTACATGTAAGATACAACAATTGCTGGAGCAATGGTCTGATCCAGTATGTTAAATCCTACCGATTCATACAGAGATCTCAGACTTTAAGGCCAGAAGGGACCATTATGATCACCTAGTCAGACCTCTTGCACGTTGCAGGCCACAGAACCTCACCCACCCGCTCCTGTACTAGTCCCGTAACCTATGGCTGAGCTACTAAATCCTCAGATCTTGATTTAAAGACTTCAAGTTACAGTTGACTCCACCATTTAATCTAGTTCAAACTAGCAAGCGACCATGTGCCACGCTGTAGAGGAAGGTAAAAAACCTCCAGGCTCTCTGCCAATCTGACCTAGGGAAAAATTCCTTCCTGACCTCAAATATGGCAAATCAGTTAGACCCTGAGCATTTGGGTGAGACCCACCAGCTGCACACCTGGGAAAGAATTTCCTATAATAACTCAGAGCCCTTCCCATCTAGTGTCTCATCTTTGATAGCTGGAGATATTTACTAATAGCAGTCGCAGATGGGCCATATGCCACTGTAGGCAACCTCATCATACCATCCCCTCCATAAACTTATCAAGCTTAGTCTTGAAACAAGTTAGGTTTTTTTGCTTCCACTACCCTCCTTGAAAGGCTTTTGCAGAACTTCACTCCTCTGATGTTTAGAAACCTTTGTCTAATTTCAAGCCTAAAACTTATTGATGGCCAGTTTATATCCATTTGTTCTTGTGCCAACATTTGCCTTTAACTTAAATAACTCCTTTCCCTCCCTGGTGTTTATCGATCTAATTTCTGGAGAGCAATCATATCTCCCCTCAGCTTTCATTTGGTTAGACTAAACAAGCCAAGCTCCTTAAGTCTCCTCAAGTAAGGTAGGTTCTCCATTCCATTGATCATCCTAGTAGCCCTGCTCTGCACCTGTCGCAGTTTGAAGTCATCTTTCTTACACACGAGAGACAAGAACAGAATACAATATTCCCAGTGAGGTCTCACCAGTACCTTGTATAATGGCAATAACATTCCCTTACCTCTACTGGAAACACCTTGCCAGATGCATCCTAGTATTGAATTAGCCTTTTTCATGGTCCCATCACATTGGTGACTCAGTCATGTTGTGATCAACCAATACACCAGGTCTCTCTCTTCCACCCCTGTTGTTTCCAACTGATTAAGTCACCAGCTTACAGCAAAAAGTCTTGTTAGTCTTTAAATGCATGGCCTTGCTCTTTCCACTATAAAATTTCATCCCATTTCTATTCCTCCAGTTTTCAAGGCCATCCAGATCTTCTTGTAGAATATTGCAGTCCTCCTCCGTGTTGGCAATACTCCCAACTTTGTTTCACCCACAAATTTTATTAGCATATGCCCACTTTTTGTGCCAAAGTCATTAATGAAAATGTTAATGAAGATTAGTACCAAGACCCATTCATGAGGAACTCCACTAGTAACCTCCCTCCAGTCTGGCAGTTCACCTTTCAGTATGATCCCTTAAACCAGTTCTTTACCCACCTTTCAATTCTTTTATTAATTGATATCTTCTCCAATTTAGCTAATAATTTCCCATATGGAACTGTATAAAAAAATCTTACTGGAATCCAGGTAGATAAGATTAATGCATTTGCTTTGTTTAGAAAATCAGTTATCTTTTCAAAGAAAGATCAGATTGGTCTGGCAGGATCTCTCTTTTGTAAAACTATGTTGTATTTTATCCCAATTACCATTTACCTCTATTTCCTTAACTACTTTTTCTTTAAAAATTTGTTCTAAGATCTTGCATATAATTGAGGTCAAACTAACGGGCCTGTAGTTTCTTTGGTCACTTTCTTTTCATTTCTTAAACGTATTTGCAATTTGCCAGTCAGAGTACAACTCCCGAGTTTAAGGATTCATTAAAAATCGTTGCTATTGGGATCACAATTTCATGTGGCAGTTTCCTTTAATATTCTTGGATGGAGATTATCTAGGTCCCCTGACTTGGTCATTAAATTCTTTGAGCTAGACTTCCAACTCAGATGTGGTAATTTCTACTTCCATATCATCATTCCCATTAGTCACCCTGCCAATGTCCACATGCTCCTCATTCTTATTAAAAACTGAGGCAAATTATCTTTTATCTCCACTCCATCCTCTGTGCTTCGCAGTCTCACTTCTTTCTTTATTTTCATGGCTAAAGAATCTTTTACTGTTGGTTTTAACTTCCTATGCAAGGTCCAACTCTGCTTGGCTTTTGGCAGTTCTCACTTTTTCCCTATATTTTCTGGAAACCTAGCAAACCTAGGAAATCTGAAGGAGGAATTACAGATTGAGCGAAGAATGTGTAGTAGAGAAATACAATGGTGAAAAAAATCTGAAAAATTAACTTCTACCAGCACTGAAAGTATTTGCATAGACGACTAAATGCTTTTATCCATTATATTTGCATGCTAAAATAATTGTTTTCAGAACCTGTGTGTGACAATAATTCCTTGAATTCTGTAGGTAAGTAATCCTGAAATGTATAAATATTTCACATTTGTATTTCCAGACTTCACTATGGCTACACCAAAGCAGAGAAAGCTAGAACTTTTAGTAATTTGGGTTGAGAGAGACTTCACATGCAAGAAGAACAGGAGTACTTGTGGCACCTTAGAGACTAACAAAATTATTTGAGCATAAGCTTTCGTGGGCTACATCCCACTTCTTCGGATGCATAGAATGGAACATATATTGAGGAGATATATCTACGCAAAAGAATTAATGGGCACAAATCTGACATCAGGAATCATAATACTCAAAAACCAGTGGGAGAACACTTTAATCTGTCTGGTCATTCAATGACAGACCTGCGGGTGGCTATTTTACAACAGAAAAGCTTCAAAAACAGACTCCAACGAGAAACTGCTGAACTCGAATTGATATGCAAATTAGACACAATCAATTTAGGTTTGAATAAAGACTGGGAATGGCTGAGCCATTACAAACATTGACTCTATCTCCCCATGTAAGTACTCTCACACTTCTTATCAACCTGTCTGTACTGGGCTATCTTGATTATCACTTCAAAAGTTTTTTTTCCCCCCCCCTCTTACTTAATTGGCCTCTCCGAGTTGGTAAGACAACTCCCACCTGTTCATGCTCTCTGTATGTGTGTATATATATCTCCTCAATATATGTTCCATTCTATGCATCCGAAGAAGTGGGATGTAGCCCACGAAAGCTTATGCTCAAATAAATTTGTTAGTCTCTAAGGTGCCACAAGTACTCCTGTTCTTTTTGCGGATACAGACTAACACGGCTGCTACTCTGAAACCGTTCACATGCAAGCTTTGCTTTTATAGCCTGAAAAATGTTAGCATTTTTAGTTGAAAGAAAAATCATGAAGCAACAATATTCTGTTGCCTCCTGCAGCGTGAAGGATAGTAAGGAGACTATGCACTGAGCCAAACCACAGATGGAAGCAGGACACTGGAATAGATGGACCTCCTAATCTGTGCGGGATGGAAATTCCTGGAATCCCACTTTGCTATTGGCCCAAATACCTATTCCAGTTGTGGTCTCTGTGTTCTGGATATTAAAAAAGATTATATCTATCTATCTATCTATATATTAGAGAGAGCGCGAGAGCGAGAGAGAGCAAGAGAGAGACACACCTCTACCCTGATAGAATGCGACCCGATACAACACGAATTCGGATATAAAGCTGCGCTCCAGGAGTGGCGGGGCTGCGCACTCCAGCGGATCAAAGCAAGTTCGATATAACGCCGTTTCACCTATACGGTAAGATTTTTGGGCTCCCGAGGACATATATACACACCGAGGTAGAGGTGTGTGTGTGTGTCTATATATATATATATATATATATATATATATATATATATAAAATCACTATCATGTAAGTTAGCAAAGAGGTGTGTTATTAAGGTGCCCCACTTGATCATGGCAAAGTATATTATATGCCAGCTCTCTTGTGATGGAGAAAGAAAAGGAAGTCAACCGCTGAATGTTAAATGTGCTAGGATGCATGCTATCTAGTTTATGCAGCTGTCAGATGGCTGGACACTGCATGAATACAGTGAGGCCAGGCACCAAAACGGATGTTGAGGGAAGGGGAAAAACGTCCCTATTTTTAGAGATGTTGAGCATCCATAAAACATGCTGACTTCAATGGGAGCTACTCCGTGCTCTGCACTTAGGTCCCTAAGTGGCTTAATTTTTCATAAATGTGCGCTTTGGATAGTAATTTTAGGTGCACACACTGTGAAAATCATAGTCCAAGTGGCCTCATTTCATCTTAAGAAAAGGAGTGTCAATTCTAGCTAGAGTTAATCACTTACTACGTGCTCTGAATCCTGAAGAATCAAACAGTGACATTTTATATCTAAAATTCAATCTCCCCAGAACTGGGAAGGATGGTGGTCTCTGTTTCAGTGACAGTTCAGATAGTCCATACAAGTTCAATCTGATCCTGTATCACAGAATAAGTCAGAAAACATAATTCTGTTTTTAGCAGCATTCCAAACAAACATTTTAAACAACTGTAATCAGACAGGCAAGAAGGTAGCTGTTTAAGATTCTGTTTTAGTGATTTACTCTTGGCAATTAATGTGATTAGAGAGCCTGTATCATACTGCAGTTTGACTTTTAGACAGAAAAAAGTAATCAACCTTCCTTTTGGTGGGAAATAAAAACAACAGATGAAGACTCCTGGCTAACACACAAAGTTCTGATTTTTTGCCACTTCTAAATAAGGAACTTTGGCAGAACTGCATGGAGAAGTAAGGGGCAGGAGCTCCAGGCATCAGACACTGGGGATAACTACCAGTTGTTGAAATGCTTGCTTACCAGAAAATGCTGCAAAAGGAGCAACTAACTGTACACTTCTTGTCAGAATGCTGACCAGAGGCTGCACGTCATGACAGGATTGAAAGGGAAGGTTGAACTCCTAGCCAAGCCACCTGAACACCTCAAACTCTTTTCTCAAAGACAGATGAGCGCACAGAAGGGGAACAATCAAACAACTAACAAACAACACAGTAATCATGGAAGAGACCATGGGGATTGTTCTGCATTGCAAAGAATAAACCCTGTAAAGGTTCCATGAAGTATGTCATTACCTTGGCTTGGAGTCTGCCTCCTAATGTCGACCTGGCATGATAGATCACAATGAGAACATCACCTTGGACTGTTATACCCAATGGGATTACGGCTTTGCCATCCTCAGTTTTGAAGTCCCTGAAGAAAAAGCACATCTCACATTAAGTTTCAAGAAAAACAACTGCTTTGAAATTAATGTGTTTTTACCTGTTCTGTCTGCTTACTCCAGGTCCCTCTAGGCAACTTAGAAATTCCACAACTTTTTTTTACTATGGAACTAGGGCTTAGATATTCAGGAAGTAACATCTTTTTTAGGAATTGGCCCTCTCCCCGCAGGAGACTGAGGCCCATCTAGACCAGCCTCCTATCTTGCACAGTGGCAAAGAATCAGATTGCTGTTACCACACTATTGAGCTGACCATAAAACTAGTTACCACGCTACTGTATTCATCATAGCAGTGAGACACGATGTTTTCCTAATGCCCGTTCCTACTGCTCTCCTTAGCTTATTGCTCAATTAGATAGATTATCCCCCAAATTTGCTTCACACTCAATGCCCTCCTCTCAAGGAGGAGCAACCACCTTTTCCAGCTTCTATAACAGTATGCAGCTCTGCCCCTTGAAAGGATCAATTTCATAGTTGCAGAGAGCTGCGGGTGAGGTCTGAGCAGGCATGTGAAAGTTGTCAGGGGTACAATGACAGACCATCACACTAGTAGCACAGATGCATCTGCACATGCTGGGTTCCTGAAAGACCAACTCTGAGCTGTAGTCTTCCACCACTTTTCCATTTCATTTCTCTGGGAAGCTCTCCTAATCCAGTGTGTTTAGAAGGTGCAACCCCATTTTTATCCTCCATTTTTAACTCCTGGAAGCAGGCCTGACCTTCAAATGTCAGTGGAATCTTTCTCCGCTCCTCCTTAACACCAGAGTTGGGATTTGAAATAGAGGATTATAATAATATGCTGCTGGTACCAATTCTTTTCCTGCCTAGGTTCCAGACTCTCCCAAAAGCACAACCTTAACACTGGTTATATCTATCTCCTGCACAATACCACAGGTTTAAATGCGCGTCTGAATACTAACTGTCCGCTGCTCTGAGACTGTGGATGGAGTTAGGCCTTCCAGACAGAACTTGGGTAGAGTATCACCAGGTCTGCCCTCAATGACCCCCAAGCAAAGGCAGGACAGACCTGTCCTTTCAATGCAGAGTTTGTACGAGAGGTGTATTCACTGCATTCGCACAGTCCCTTCAGGGAGCAACGTTTCAGTATTAAAACAGCTCCAGAAAGAGTTCAGACTTACGTTTAGGAACCTGCACTTACTTCATTTTGTCATATTCCTGTGAGGTAGTGGTCACTCTTTCATCCCCAACATAAACTTCACAAAAAGGCCTACAGCCATTTCGCAGCTTGCTGAACAGAGGAACTGGTGTCATGATAATTGATTTGATAAGGATTGGCTTGCTGTGAGGAATAATGGGTTCTTCTGCCATCATGTCACACATATACTCTATATACCTGTCAAAACAAGAGGTATTTGTTCAGAAAAACAATACAGCCTGGAAATGCATGATCTGAAACTTACCTTGTCATTGTAAATATTCAATTCCACAATGTTCCATGACACCATTACTCATAAGCACAAGGGAGTATATTTAACAGCACATTAGGAAACTTAAGTCTGATTTTATAGATTTCAAAGTCAACCTTGCATGGAAAGAATGAAACGGAGAAAAGGGGAAAACAATCTAGATGTGTATGTCTAACACATTTCACCCATGGCCAAAGGAGAGTTACTACAGCGGTATCCATGCACAAATTCCCATACTGTTCTAACTTAGGCACCTATATGGCCCCCCATCAACACAGTAGTTGAGTGCCTCAATCTTTAAAGCATTTCTCCTCCCGACACCCCTGTGAGGTGGGGAAGTGCTAATATCCCCATTGTACAGATGGGGAACTGAAGCACAGAGGGAAACAATGAGCTGTTGATGGTCACACAGGAAGTCTATGGTGGAGCAAGGAATTTCGCCCAGCTCTGTCAAATCCCAGACAAGCATTCTAGCCTCCAGACCATGCTTGGATTCATCCTTGTCAGAATGCACCGACTATTTCAGTAGTAGGGCTTTTAAAAAATTAGCCAATTTTAACCAAGTCGTATCTAATTAAAATATTTCTAAACTGTAGTGTACAATTTTGCTCCTCTGCAGTTTGCTAATCCACACACCCCCTTTTCAGACATCTCTTTATTCTGAAAGGCAAAGATTTATCGGCAGATGCTCTAGTGAAGTTATAGATTTCAGTATTTTTACAAAACCTAAATACAGTCCACCTGAAAAACTCAAGTTATGCTAGTTGCCAAAATAGATGATACAATGCATAAAAAGATATGCATTTACTCTTTTTAAAGGAGTATATATCCTCTTATTCACTAAATATGCAATGAACTGACTTCAAGTAAGTACTTGTTATACTTTTGGATTCTGTAAGTCTGAAGAGCGTTCAGACAGCTGGAACTTACGTCCACACTGAACAAGCTTTACTTTGTCTCTTCCACATTTGAGGATATAGGTTATACTTTGCTTTGTAGAGAAGTATTTAGGACAGTTTTCACTTCAAGCATTTTACCACCTCAGCTTTCATTCTTAATGTAGTTCCAACACACATCAGGTTGATTTGTTCAGTAACTAGGGTCACATGAATAACAGATTCAAAAATCTTGCAGAATTCAAAATTTACCCAGCACACAGGTGACTCATTTGGTTTTGCAAATGTTCTATCATCCTACCAGGCTAATTCCTAAATCAACTACCTCGTCCTACAAATCGGTGTGCTAATTTTTTTTTTTTTTTTACAGTACATGCTCATATGTAGATTTGCTTCAACAATGCTTTGAAAAGAGATTGATACTGTACCTTTTATGAGAAGGCCAAATGCCAGGTGGACAGCGTTTCATACTGAACATATAAACCGCAGCCTCCGCAGTAGTGAAGAGACGGCAAAAACATAAAAAAGAGCAAACTACAACAGCAGACGCTGCTCTTCCATCCTACAAAAAATGGTGACCTAAAGTTATTAAACCTAGTTCAAAATGTTAAGAAAATTACTGACGAACATGCCTGTCTACATAAGAAGCCAAGTTCATATCCTTTATTTCAAGTTATGAATTAGGCATAATTTAAGTTGATCATGGCTGGTTTTTGAACCACAGTTTAAGTAATAAAGCCTTAATGTTGTGGGAATGTAGCAAATTTCTTTAATAGTTAAAATTAAATGTTTTTCAAGATGAAACACAAAAGCTAAGCAGGAAATAAACAGAATTAAGTGCTCATTTGAATGCTATTACTGAGTAGTTACTAACTTTAGCTTTATATTATCTCAGAGTTCTGAGTGTTCATTTTCTTAGCATCAGTATCCTAAAGTTTTAACCACATAGTCTGGCTGCTGAGTGGGAGATCCATTTTAGGCACTTCTTCTGCTGACAAGCTAAGGGGCTTCTGTTACAGTGCCAGCAAGTCTTGAGGTGTACAGGAATAACCGGCGAAGCCATGCAGTCAACATCGGCTCCAATTCCTGCCTGGCGATACATCTTTGGTAATTACTCATGTATTTAGAGGAACACAGAGGGAAGTTTGAGACATTAAAGAAAAATTCTTGAGCAAAATTTTCATTTTGACAGGGCAGAACGTTCAGGAAATGCAACACGATTAAGACCACATAAGAGAAAGAAATAGTTAATTGGTAAACAAGTCTCTGATGACAAAACTTTACAATTCATACAGAAGCTTGATCATTTACAGAATGGAAACAGGAGAAATGTCAATATAAAGGGGACGTGGAAAAGAAAAGCATGGACTTCAGTTAATTTCTCCCACCACATTTTGATGGGAGGGTGGTGACAGGATATAGTAACAAAGCTAGTGCTTGGATCAGAGCAATCATTAAGAGATTAATCCAATGCAAAAAAATTCTGAGACCGCTGAACTCTGAAGATTCCCCCTCCAACAGCCTCAAAGCAAGTTAACAGATTATGGCTACATTATTTCACAGTAGGAGTACAACCTTCTTAAAATACTATGTACACCAGCAAAATATGAATTTCAGCAGTGTAGGTCAAATATAGCCATTTGGTGAACTATTTAAACCGGAAGGCTTATTTAAATGAAATCACTGTAGTTTTATCATCAAGTTTTACAGGTGATTATTCATTAACGATGACCATCATTTTGTCTGCATAAATCCCAAGTTATTAGGCTTTACTGCAGGTGAAAGAGGTAAGGGAGGGGGTATAATGCTGAAGTGCAGCCTTCTGGCAGCTACTTCATCCTATGGGCTAGAATGGCAGCTTCTGCACCAATTGTGAAGGAATGGTAGGGCCACTGGGTGTGTTATTAGAGATCCCACAGCCCCTCTAAGTCCAGAAGACCCTCTGTTAAATGCAGTTTATGTGGGGCAAAAAGCTTTACTTGAGGTCTTCCCTCAAGAAGATTACTTACTTCTAAAGTAGCTGGGCTTATATTATGAAACACAGTGTTACTGGTTCATTCAGCGAAGGCCTCACTGAATGGGTAAAGAAAAATTATAAATCCTTTACGTTAATCCTTAATTTTGTTTTTTCTCCGCTCCTTGCATGCTGTTTCACCTCTATGGGGAAATATCAACAGAACTATGATCATTATTTAGACACAAGCTAGTTCTCTGGAGTTTGTTTAGCTCCTGGATCACATCTTCCGAATGAAAGACGCTTTAGGCTTATGCAGTTACTTAGAAAATTCACTGTATCTTCTAATTAAAACCACCAGTTCAGAAATTCTTTTGTTTTTCTGGTTTCTAAACAGAGGAACTTCTAGTAAGAAGAATCTGAGTTCTGCATATGGCCGGTATTGCTCATTTCTATTAAAGAAGAAGAACTTATGCCAGTACTATGTGGAATGTCTGGCCTGTAGCCATACCTCACTCAAGCTTTCCATCATGTCACATCTCAAACAGGGCTGAACCATGTACGTGCATTGACGAGAGATCTCCATAGACTATTGCAAGAAATGGAGTTAACTCATGAGATATCACTCCTGAGTCTGTACTGAAACAGTGCCTCTAGCATGGTAGTTAGAGACACTACACTGGTGGAGCTACCATCTTAGAGGTCAACTGGATTCCTAAACACGCATGGAATTTTTAATGATCACAGCTTTTCTTGTAAGAGCTGTGCATTAACTAATGTTGTACTGGGAAGCTGGGAAGTAAAAAGGGAATGTATTTCACTTTCCTTCTTCTTGACCTATTGACCACCAAATTGGTGAAAGTTGCACTATTTTACCACACAGGCTCCTTTTCTTAAAAAAGAATAAATAAATAAATTTAGACCGCTACAGAATTGGCTTAAGACGGTAAAAATCAATGTTACTCATACACAAGAATTGATTGATACTGCAATCCTTGCGGTCACCTAAAGCTGGACTAGATGAAAAATTTCAGATGTACCTACTACTTACAAGGCAGTGTACAATGCAAACTTTTTTGTGATCTTGCTTTAGCCATAAATGCATGTTCTTGCAAATGCTGTAAAGGTTTTGAAGATTTGGTGCACGTCTTGCTGGCCAACCACATTCCGAAACCTGGGTTGGGGAATGGGGTAAGAGGTAAGAAAATAAAAGTGACTACTACAACACTTATATAAGCTAGAACAACAACAAATTGGCAGTTCTGTAGGTAAATATTAAATCCAAGAACAAATTAAACAGGAGCAGTCTCAAATAAGCTCTCAATTTGGATAAACTCTTCTCAATATTCAGCCCAAAAGGTCCTTAATCGTGAGTGTTGTCTCTGAGTGCTACAGAAATACAAATAAATAGCTACAATGTGAAGAACAAACAGTCACTATTAGAGAATGATGCAAAACAGCTCCCTTCTAGCTCATATTCATAAGCTCAGAACTTTCTTAAACATTCACCTTTTGGGCTGAATTTTCTCGTGCTTGGTCTCTGCTCAATAAAAAAAAATTAATTGAGAAAAATCCTTTCAGCAATTTCTGAGTTACAACAGATTATAAACAACCTGCCACTGGTAAAAAAATAGTCTACATTTTAAAACAGGATTATAAAATGGGGCAAAATATGAAACGATGCTTTGTGATAACAAATAGATGCTTTAAATTGTTCCTCTGAACCCAACAAAGAAAGTTTTAGTTTAGACCACTGAGCATGCTCAGGGATAGATTGATATGGCTTTCACAGAATGGATTGAACTTTGCTTCATCACAGCACATTTTCTTGCCCAGACCGGCAAGTGCAAGGGCTGCTGGTGGGACAAGCTGCACAAGGCTGTTTAAGTATCAGAGTGTAAATCTATGTTACAATAAAAATACCTACTGCACTAAATCTCAGAGGCTGGGTCAGCTGGCTCAGGTGGGGGGGTGAGGGGCTGTAAAATTGTAGTGTACACGTTTGAGCTTGAGCTGAAGTCTGGGCTCTGAGACCACCCACATCATGGGGTCTCGGACCCCGGGTTCCCGTCTGAGCCTGAACATCTACACTGCAGCCTGAGCCCCGCGAACCTGAATCAGCTGACCCAGCCCATCTGCAGCTTTATTGCGGGGCTGTTATTGAAGCACAGACAGACCAACAAACACTACGTAATCCTCCAAAAGAGAGGTCTTAACGTCAGGGTCAGAAAAAATTGGCAGAACGGAGAGTTCTGCTGACTTAGGCAGGTTCTGGGCACCCAGAAACTATTATATTAGAATGGACAAAGCTATTACATTAGAATGGGAGTCAGAATAAGCCAGGAGAGGATTCAAAACTAGCATTAACTTCAACTGTAACTAACGCAAAAGACAAGGAAGTTCTGAGAAAGTTTTGTATTGGTGGATGAGCATAGGAGCGAGAATTTAAGCACGAGTTCGAGAAATAGCTGCCTGCCAGGCCTAGAGTATCCAGCGATGAGGAAACATCCATTTTGCAATGGCTAGTAAGCAGAGTATTGAAGTTATAAGCATGTTGTGTTCCTCTGTGATCGTAACATCACAATGAGTCTCAAAGGAGAGCCTTTATGGACACTGAAGGAGTCTTGAATGCTGTTAGCTTCTGACATGGCTGCTTTCACTCAGCATGATACTCTAAATTTAGAAAGTGTCTTCTTTTTGTGTCTACAACAATGAATTAATGAGTCCAATTTGTAGCATGATTATATTGTGGGGATAAATTTTTTGCCCTGCTGATGTCCAGAGAATTAAGAAGCATGTCCTTCAGGTGTATGAGGTTCAAACAAAGATGAAAAGGGAAAGCTTCCTGATTCAAGTGAAACAAAGAGCTTATTTTCCAGGATAAATTTCTGCTGTGTGAAGGAAACCTTGTTTTTGTAGGTCCTCAAATACCTCTGGCCATTGATGGGAGCCTTATCAAGATCAGTTTGAGCAACAGCTTTTGACAAGTGCAGATCCAGTGTTACCTTCTGACTACAATGGAACAAGTAAGGACCATGTCACTGACCGGCTAAATGAACAGTAAGGGCTGACAAACTTCAGGAGGTCACTGACGGCTTTGGATTTGGCAATTTCAACAGTGCCTTCACCCATGCCAAGATGGTGTGGGCTGTTACTGCCTGGGCAACAGACACTTCAAATATGCATGCTAAGGAACTGTATATCTTATGGGTAGACTCGACTTTTCTGTTCAGGGAATGAGATCTCCGTAAACTGCAAATGTGATTTGAATTGGAAACTCTGGATAAAGTCCGATTTTTTTTTATTTTTTTTTTTTAGGAAAAGTGGTGCATTTGGAGGACCTTTCTAAATTTTTTTTGTTTTTGGTTTTGTTGTTTAAGTGTTGGAGGCATGTCACTGATTAAGCTCTTACTTTCAGGATTTTTCTGTTCCAGATGCATTATGGGTCACAATAATCTTGGCATTAACACTGTGCACCCCAGAAACAATTAGGCTAAGACCCTAAGGATCCCTCAATCTTTCAGACTTAGTCACTTTCCACGCAGTTTTAGGCAAACAGCTCATCCTCCCCATCTTAATTCCAATCCTCAGGCTCCCATTTGGAGACAAAGGGAATTCTCTTTTAGGTCTGAGGTACTACCTCGTGTCCTTCTATGGCGAGGAGAGGACTTGTTGGAGGAAGGAGTAAATGGCAAGGACAGGCCAAAGGAAAGCAGGCCAGTGAAATGCATAGTGCTGGGCAGACAGATGATTTGGGGGGAGAAGGGAGCAGTTATATGGATGAAGAAGGGATGTTAATGGAGAGATCCCACCTTACAGGTTAAGGTCCAAGAAGGGACCTGGAATAGATGAGACTTCCAGACTATCCAATACTAACACCTCTCTGGAGTGAAAGATCTCCCTGAGGGGCTTGGACTCCTAGCTGTATAAAGGTCAAACCAAAGCCTGAAATGTATAGTACAAGGAGATCTGGGGACAGCACTGGGGCATGGTTCTGCAGAGGGCTGAGGTATGTCAACCTGAGACTTTGCCGTTGAGCCAGTCATAGACTGGTTGAGAGACAGGAGTCAAAAAAGGAGCAAAGAAGTGTTCACTGATACTTTACGGCCTACCTAGCTGGCACCTTCTATCCGGTTATGGAGTAAGTCATGTCCTCACCCCACCCCCTTTCTAGGTTCTGCAGAACTGGACAGGAAGGTTTCACAGAGACGGGCAGGCTGGGCTATGCTGCACCCACCATTTCAGGAAGCAGCAAGGAGTAGGCATGGCTAGATCGCTCACTTGAGGAAGGGTGTCATTCGGGGGCTGGGTCCAGATGGAAGTCAAGAATAAGGAAGAGAGATGAAAAAAGGAGAAATCCCAGTAGTGAAGCCATCATAAGTAGTTCCCACGGTAGGGTGGGAAGCCTCTGCAAACAGGTGGAACACAGATTTGTTTCTGAACAAGTGTCTGGTCAAGTGTAGTTGGTCTTTTGGCCTTGAGATGAAAACCTTGCCTTTGTTTCTGGGACCTTGAAGAAGTGAAAAAATTCTCTAAGTTATATCTAGACGGAGGTTCTGGGTGCCTAGATGTTTCTTCAGCAAAGCTATACCATTCCAGTAAGTGGACAAATCCTTCCTATTAGCAAGTCTGAACTGGTGGTAAAAGCATGGCACAGGTAATGTTGCCATGAGACCTTTAACTTTTGTAATTGCTCATTTGTGATTTTTAACTATGCATCCTAAACATTGGATTGTAGAAGATTTTAGCATGTAATACGACAAGAAGTGATAGGTCTACTCAATTTATTGTGTTGAAAGACCTACTAAAGGAAAAAATCAATATGCAAGAAAAACACATACACACCCTATTATGAAATCTTGAAGACCTGTATGTTCTTGGAGACAGATTGTAAACAGCATAGTGTCCAGGGTGTTTAGAGTCTAAAAATAACCGCACATCTTCTATGTTATTTTTGATGGCAGATTCTACACCTTCTGCTGGAAAGGACATCACTGAAAACAGAACACCACCAATGTTTGAGGTATCAACTTTTACAAAACCACAGTTAAAAACAATGATTAAGAAAGATGAAGCTATCATACCAGCAATTCTGGAAGTGATATAAGATATATCCAAATCTCCCTTTGCATAACTGAAATAAAAAAAACCACCTCTAAGTTAATATATTAAAAAAATGAATCCATTCAAATGCAAATAGAAATGTCTGATGCAGTAGTTTATTCTATTAATGAGCTAGTATGGAGATCATTTTTCCATTTGGGAATATCATCAGTAAGAGCTCTGCTTAAAGCAGGACAGCTGTGCACTACAGGATAAGGCAAATACTGCAAGACCAAATACATTTAACTGAGAAAGGCAGCTGTTGTGGACATTGATTAGATTTTCAAATGGAGACTTTTTTTAAAAAACAGACAGTTCTTGCACTTACACACGAGGAGGCTAATGAATCTTAACCAGTGCAGTTATAACATATGGTAGCATGACTAAAGCAACTCACCTGCCTATCAACTTCCAGCTATTCAAACCTTTTTATCAGTATCTTCCTACGTTAGGTACTTCTACGGACCTCATTACTACAGTATCACAGCATCTCAATCTTTAATGAATTTATCCTCAACACTCTCTGAGGTAAGGAAGGGCTATTATCCCCATTTTACAGATAAGGAACTGGAGCACAGAGATTAAGCGACTTGCATAACAGCACACAGGAAGTATGGGGCAGAGGAGAGAATTATGCCTAGATCTCCCAAGTCTCTGACTAGCACCCATCCTTCTTTCCTACACAGGCTCTTATTGCCTAAGCAGTAATTAACTGTTTCCCATTTTATGAATTATATTTGAATTCTATTTTGGAGACTATCTAGTAGGTAAATTGAATATTTAAGATTCACTTTAGTTCCATGAAAGGTAGCCAGTATGAATTTACAGAAGATAGATCATTGCTAAAAATGACAGGAAGATGTTATGTATATACAGCATTTGAACTGAAGAGTAGCTTTTGAAAGAGCTTCAAGACACTAGCAGGTAAGGTACTGTATTGTATTGTACATGGGTGGGCCACATAGGTAATAATCTGTTCAGCGATAAGTAAGCAAGCAGACAAGAAAATACTGAGAGGTACAGAAAACTAGATCAAACTACAGTTAGTATTTGAACAATTTGTTACAAAGGGGTTTATATCTGTCTAGGACATGGAAGATAGATTACTGCCGTTACACGTCATTTATATACAGTATACAGTATGGTATACTGTATACTGTATAGGGGAAAAAAGAAGACATCACCACAGTGAAGCCTTCTTGCAGGACAGAGAACAGAATAAATGCTAGCATTAATCTTCAGAGATTCTGTCTGCTCCACCACTGAGCTCCTGGGGACTTAGAAAATAGGGGGCAGTTAAAAAAAAAAAAAAAAAAAGTCCAAAACAAAAACACTTTGCATTTTTGTAGCACTTCCCAAACCAAGATCTCAAAGTGTTTTATGAAACTTGACAGCTCCCTTATGAGGCAAATTCCTATTATCCCTATTGTACAGATTAAGGAACAGAAAGATAAAGCACAGATGACTCACTCCAGGTAGAGATCTGACCCAGTCAGGAATAGAAACCTGATGCCCGACTTCCATGCTGGTGTTTCACCCACAAGAACACCCTTCCTCTCAAAATAGCTCAGACAGACAAGGCATACAGACAGAGAAAAATGGAAATCTAATTTTCTATAGGTAAATAAGGTAATGAAGGCACATTTCTAAGGCCAGTTAAGACAGACTCCTCTAGACAACACTTGATTTATCATTTACTGACTGTCTGCTCTAGATGATCAAGCAGTGTTCATTTGACCTTCAACATGGATCAATTCACCCAGGTGCTGAAAGGGGAAGTGGTCTAGCCATACCAATATTTATGCCTTTTTCTGGTGGAAGTAGCCCACTAGTCAGTCCTCATGCATAGTGGGAAACCTAACAGGAAATGAACAGGGTGGATAAAAATCAATGATTTAAAAAAAAAAAAAAAAAATGGATTTTTGTATTTAAATCGGATTTTTTTGATAAAATGCTTTTTGATGAAAAAACTATCTAAAGATAGTTTTAATTAAGATACATTATAGTTCAAAGATATCTCATCATGGAATAGGGATTATAAATTCTAATTCTATAGTATGAGACAATATAATCATGCAATGTTTAAGAAAAGTTTTGTAAATGAATTCCAATAGTTCATGGATTAGGGACCCAATCTTATGGGGCTCCAGGGGCTTCTGTATAGATTATTTAGGTTAATCTTTCTATCTACCCAATGGGACTCAGTGCTCAGTCTAGAAGATACCATCAGAGATGCTTAGTTTTGCAGTTCTCAAACTGTGGATTTCGCTCTCCAGAGATAACATGCTTGTTAACAGCCTAAATGTTTTTAAATAAATAAATAAATAAATAAATATATAGAGGTGAGAAATAAACAGACCTCAACCCTATTGTCCCTCTGCAAATTTGTGTACACAGAGTCAAGTACGCGAGCTCTGATTATTAGTAATGGGCAAAGCAAGGAGGCTGTCTGTCCAGGTGCCCTACTTGGGGGAATTCTGCTATACATTGCAGGAAACCATTCTACAGTGACTTAAAGATTCATTTAATTTAAAATGTTCTTTTCCAATTCTAACTCCTACGACATAGTTACCATAGTGATTTTTACATTAGTTCATAGTGATGAAATTTTAAATGGAACACTACATACTGGCATATTTGGCCTCATATCAGCACCAGCAGGATGCGTTTTGGAGTTTCAATAGGACACTTCTGACTTTCCCTTTTAGAAATTATCAACACTGATGTTCTTCCTACTTACTTGGCCACAGACTGGATCACTTTAGAAGAAGTATCCTTGATGTTTGTGAAAAACCGTTCTGTTCCACCTTTGAGAATATCAAAGAACCCTCCGTAAGACTGGTCAAGTTCTGCAACTGTCAGGCCTAGAATTAAAAAGCAAATCTAAAGTTACAATTTAAAACAAAACAAGGAATGTAATGGAACTGTGCTCAAATTTCTCTTCACAAGGCAAAATCAAACTGAACTGCCAACAACTTAAGATGTACAAAAACAGGATCAGCCTTCCCGTCACGCTCAGTCCCAGAACGAAGCTTTCAACTTCTGAAGAACAAACTACACAACAATATTTTTCCATGTTCCCAACTATGGTGGTAAACTAGAATAGTCTACAGGTATTACATTTATAAAACATGTAACAAGCCATTTTACATCTCTTTATGAAGGAAAGACAGACCACCAAGTGTCTGGCTGTATGCATTTCTGTCATATCACTGTTTAAATCAGGGGTCTCAAAGTCTCGGCGCACAGGCCATCTGCGGCCCAAGAACCTCCCCACTGCGGCCCGCGGAGGAGACACATGCAGCCACGCTGCCGGCAATGTCTGCTGCAGGTGCTGCCCCTCGCAGCTCCCATTGGCTGGGGGAAGAGGGACAGAGATACCATCACTAGTTGCCATCATGGAGGCAGCATCATTAGTTGCCGGGCAGAGTCAGCCATGGAGGCAGTGTTCCTTTTTCCCCCACAATATAAACAAGTCAAAATACTGAACACAGCTATCTGACGCACACCTTGCTGCATCCTGTGGGTTTCAACTGCTCAGTCACTGAGGCCAAACATCAACAAACTGACAGAACTGAAGCGTTGCCAGGTGTCTGGCAAACACTAAAAACTCTCTGGCAGGTGAAGAAGTTGTATGACAGTTTTATTATTTCTGAGAAATTCTAAATGAAAAAAATACAATATAAACATTTTCTTTTCTGACCACCATCTTCAGTGACATTATTGGCCCGCGGGGAGGGTTTGAGGACTGGCCCTGGCCCTAAGGTAAATTGAGTTTGAGATCCCTGGTTTAAATTGTGGCATGCTGCCTTTCTATTTAGTGCCATCATCCTGATATGCAGCATGCCACTGAAAGCTACTTGACTGTACGCAGTACATTTTACAGCCATTTCTGGTTTTATCTCGGAAAGTTACATTTGTTACCGGGATCACTAACTTTTCCTTTTATCATCATCTGCTGGACTACATCCTGTTAACATTATTGTGTAATACATAAAAGAGACCTCTTTGACCCTGCGAGAAGCAGATGGTCAGACAAGCATTTGAAAACACAATCCTGTTATGAAAGAAGATTCATCCCACAGAGAATAAAGTGTGGGCAGTATTACTAAAGTATTTTATTGGTAGTATAAATTTACCTCATTTTAAAGTTCCCCCTTCAGGTAAATTAATATTTGAATATATACTTTTCTCTCATGAGCTGCACAGAAGGCATGAATAAAATAACTTAAATCAAGGAGGAGAAAAAAATTGCACGCAGTAAAATTATTAACATTTCCAGTCTTTCATTTTAGGTGAAATATATCCAGTTCCTCGAAGCATTTATGCTCATGAAGTTAACAGTTTAATATTTAGCCGTGAAATCACACAGGACAGAAACTGTTATTTCAGTTAACAAGATTATACATATTGGACACAAAAAAGGATGTTTTGACTAAGACCAATTAATAGGTTACTTTGAAGAACTGAAGTTCAACCAAAGTAGGCTATTATCTGTTTTTAGCATAATATATTTATAAAGTGGAGGTTTCTATTTGAGTTTGTTTTTTTGGAAAAATGACATTTCTGATCCTTAACCAATCTATTTTTATGTTCTTATAGCATGTTCCAAATTTTATATGAATCTAAGTGCTGCCTTTTCCTTAGCTGCTACTATCTGTATAAACGGATATTCATTGTACAGATCAGTCATCTTCATCTAAGGCCTGGTCTACACTACGACTTTAATTCGGATTTAGCTGCGTTAATCCGAATTAACCCTTCACCCGTCCACACTACAGAGCCAGTTAATTCGAATTAAAGGGCACTTAAAATCGATTTCTGTACTCCACCTCGACGAGCGGAGTAGCGCCTAAATCGATTTTGTTAATTCGAATTAGGGTTAGTGTGGCCGCACACCACCGAATTACTGTGGTTAAAGTAATGGGGTAGTGTGGCCGCACACCACCGAATTAATGTGGTTCAAAACCAAATTAATGTGCTTAGTGTGGCCGCGCACAATCGAATTTATACAACCTGTTTCCCAAATTCGAATTATCTAAATTCGGATTAATCCTGTAGTGTAGACATACCCTAAGTGTTTTATTCCACAGGTTAACAATGTCATTTGGTATCAGCTGTTGCACTTTAGCAAACAGTCTCTTCTCTTTTCTTGTGAGAAAAATGTAGGGAGTAAATTTTTACATTTGCCATATATAAACATGAAGTCTATTCTGAAGAAGGTGGAATCAATCTACAAATGTGAAGTCCTTCACAAAAACTATATAAGCTTGCTTAACAATAATCATTTACTTAACCTAAGTGGTTTTCATAAAGCAAGATACTTAATAGCAGTATCACTCAGGAGAAATGAATATTTCTACGAAGGAAGTTCATTTAAAATTTCAAGCCCACCCAGAAGTTTTCACATACCATAAACACAACTAGTAAGTATTCAGATGGTGTGTGCAGAGACGCCTATCACTGTACATACCTGCATTGTACATATTGTTGAGCTGTCCTGCAGGCTTGGAGCCCTGCGGCACCAAACTTGTAGACATTCTAGGCACAGCATTGTTTCCATAGCCTCCATTTTGTTCCAGGAGCTGCAAAGAATCATATCCATCAGGAGAAATTTTTTTTAAATTTGTATATAAACACTGCATTGGCAAAGGACAGTTACAAAACTTAAGTTGCCCGGTCCTCACTGTTTAGCCCTGAATGGCTGTTTAAACTACTGAAAGGACAAAAAAGTTTCACTAGTTTTGTTTCACTGCATTAGGCACCATGAGAAACAGGGCCAATATTCTTTAGTTCGGCTTTCAGCCCAGGTTTTTCTGGCTGCTCTGGTACATTGTTACTGCTCAAAGTCAGTAGTAAAACTCGAGGTTGAATGGAAGGAGTATCAGGATCTTGGCAGGAAAATCTCCCAGCTGAACTGCTGAAATACGGATACTATGAACTCAACATGTTAGCAATAAGGTGGCTGCCTTGCAAACCTATCCCTAATTTTTCTAAATCAGAGCTAAACTTACCCACAAAGTCTCAACTTTCTTCTACAACACAGATGAAAAAGGAAAGGATAAGGAAGATGGCCCAGCTTTAGAAGAGTGATATGGCACCTTTACTCCAGAGCAGTGATACTCAGACCTCAGTGGTTCAGGAGCCAAATTACGATCAACATTCCCCAGAAGAGCCACAGGAGTGTGAATTCATTGTTTCACTTACTATTTTTATATATATCTCACAGCAAAATGACTGACCAAGTATTCTACAATTGGTTAATAACATAGAAAAGGCATCTTGATTGGTTAATAACTTAGATTGGTTAATAATTAAATCATTCAGTGTTTCAATATCACATGTTGCAAAGAGGCACGGGAGATACAATAAGGAGCCACTTGCAGCTCCCAAGCCTCAGTCCGAGTATCACTGCTCCAGAGCAAAGGACAGGCAACGAATGGGACAGCCATGAATTGGGTCACTTGAGCAGAATCCTACTCCCATTTCTAGACAAGTCTTTACAAGTGTGCAGAAACTTCCAGAGCTTCCTTCTCTCCCGCTTCCCCTAAAGCGAGAAACACTCCTCATGAAAAAAGTGTGACCCCCAAGTAGGAGACAAAAAAGCAGCAAGTTTTATCTAGCAAGACAAGCTTCTGTAGCCCACATTACATGTTTCATTTAGGTCGCTGCACCTCAAGGAGGAACATGGACAGAAGTGTACCCTAGACAGCCACTATACTAGTGAGTTTCAGAGTTGGCATGAGGGATTATTTGAACTCCAGGAAGTAGGGCACTTAGATTGCAATGTTTGGGGACACATGCCTAATGTCCAAATTATGAACTTGGATGAGCCATTCACCTAGGCAGAAATAGAGGGGTACCACATGAATGCAGATATGGCCAAAGACACCAAGGGAGACTGCTTAAAAACTGAAGATGGAAAAAGGACACAACGTTGAAAACAACAAGCACTTCCCAGAGAAGAAGGGGAATCACCAGATGAAGCACAAACAGGTAGACTGGGCTGCACACAGTCTCCTTGGCAGGAAGGGGGAAGCATATAACACACTGTTACCAAGGCCAGAAATCTGAACCCATATGCAGCTGCTACATTATTTTGGATCCAACCCATAAACTTACCAAGTGCAAACTTGCAAACAGGAATGTAACTGTAGCTGGTAAAAAGATTTTTCTTGGGAAAGCTAACCCCAAAACTTGGGAGACAGAAAAGGGCTTGCCAACCAAGAGTTAAGGACCAACAGCAGCCTCTACTGCAGAATCCCATTCATACAGAACGAACAGTGGCAGGTCTACACTACAGCTTAAGTCGATCTAACTCATGTCACACAGGGATGTGAAAAAGACACCCCCCTGAGCGATGCAAGTTACAGCGAAACTAAGCACTGTCCACACTGGTGCTTTGTCGGCAGGAGATGCTCTCCCACCAACATAGCTTCCACCTCTTGCAGAGGTGGAGTAATTTATGCCGACAGGAGAGCTCACCCATTGGCACAGAGCATCTTCACCACATGCACTGCAGCTGTACCAATGTAGCACTTCTAGTGTAGACCTGCCCTTGGTTAAACCAGTGCAGTAAAACTAATGCAGCTGTCTGTGTGAACTCTTACTTCAGTTCTGCAAAGTTTAAGGTTTTGTCTCTTTTACAGACAGCAGCAAAAATCACAACAGTTCAAAAGGCTAGTCTGCTTGCAGAGTTGCACCAGTTCAACTGAAGGTAAGATTTAGTTAATCTATTTACTTAAATCTGTGCAAAAGGACACTCAAGTCAATGAGGAACAGGTTTAAGAAACTGAAATAAGCAACCCTTAAACCAAAGTAAAAGTCCACACAGGCATTTGCATTAACTGTACCAGTTTAATTAAGCTGTTGTGAATTTGTGTAGGCCTAAATTCCCTAAATTCATTGTCCCATATTAAACTCCCCCCCTACGCACACACCTTCACAACCACCACTTCTCAGGTCAATTTCAGTCACATCTGACATGTGACACTGAAGATCTGCCTCCAGAAGGAATGCTGTTGAGAGGAAGATGCTTCCAAGAGTCTGACAATAAGCAGGAAGAACCATCATTGGTTTCCTTTTAACATATTCTGATGAGAAAGAGCTTTGAGGCTGGGATTTTCAAGCCATTGTAAGTGAGTTATGCATCCAAACCCCATTGAATTTCTATTGAAATTAGGCACCTAAATCCCTTAAACTCATTTGAAAATCTCACTGCAACCATTTTGACAGCTGTTTCAAAGTTCCTATTGACTGAAGGTGGGGAAAAGAAGGATTATACTCTTTGTAGCACTCCCGTACCTCTGTGATAGGAGATTTAGGATTCACGTTCCTGGCAGCCGCAATCTCCTGCAGCTGATTCACAAGTTCAGTGATTGACAACCTCTCCTCTGGGTTCACCTTCAAAGTGGAACCTAAAAAAAGGTAATTTAGACATTACAACAGTCCTTTTTTGATTGCATAAATCTGTTCTTTACTCAGTGGATTCAAGCGCAGCATGATTATCAACAGTAAAGCGTGCAGAAAAACCAGGGAAACAGTCAACTTGCACCCAAGTATCATTTGCCTTTAACAGGCATCTCTGTATTAAGAATAAGGATTTTAGTGATGAATCAAGACGACACTTTTAAAGAAAATACTACAAGAGAATCAAACTTGAAGAAATGTTTACAGGCAACTTAGAACCCACCCCATTTCATCAGAATTTTAACAACCAACTGTAGTAGTTCAACTGTGTCTTTTGAACTTTAGTAAAGCAAAGTTTCTTAAACAAATTCAAGGAATCCGAACCAAAATGCAAAATATTTCCAGCCAATTTATCAAAATCCTAAGATTTAGTATTGAAAAAAATCAGTGAAAAACCAAAAGGTTTACACTCAAAAAATCTAGTTCTTAACTGCATGTAGAAAAGTTTGAAAGTTCTTCATATTGATGTCACGTAGCTAAAAATAAACTAATCATTGTCATACGGTTTACGATGCCACTTCAATGGAACTGGAAAATTCTGATTGATTAATCCCATTGTACCTAACATATTTTTAATGATGAAAGAAGTAAGGTCCACAAAAGCATCAGAATAAATTAACAAGATTCTAAACTTACGAATGAGATCATGGAACACAGAATATCGAGTGTCATTCTGAGGAATAGAGTATTTCCCATTGACTATGCGAAGCTTAGCCCCATCTTCAAATGGATGTTGCCTAAAGCACAATAAATACAGGATACAGCCCAAGGCCTACACAGAAATAAAAGCAAACATTACAGAAAAGTCAGTAATTCAGGCACCGAAAACCATTTAAAGTTGAATTCTAGATATGAAACTGATTGGAACAACTCTGATCAAGCTCAAATCTAAAATAACTTTGCTATATGAAATGCAAATTGCTTAGTCATGGAACCCAACACTATTAACAGTGATTCAGCTGCATACCCCCCCCCCTTCTTTCTAAAATAACTAAACCCTTGAAGTTTCATTCTTTAGGATTAAAGATTAACAAGCCTAGTCTACACAGACTAACCGTTTCTAGCAGCATGAAGACTGTGATACAGTTTTGCCATTATGATTAAAGGTTTGCTAGATTCCTCAGTCTCCGATTTTTTTTTTTTTTAATTTTAAAATTCTCTCCAGGTTGAGGGATTTATATTATAGTATAATATATAGGTATCAACACCTTTATTATATATGTAGCAAAGTGTAGCACAATGGTTTTTAAAGTAGGTGCTCCAAAGACAGAGTTCTATTTTTATGGGCCAAATCCTACATTCATAGTTTCTGTGTAAGTCACTCCTACTTAAAGGATTTGGTCCTCTCTTTGCACTCCTAATTCAAATTCATTCGGTTACTAAGTACATAATTGGGTAGGTTGTCAAAGCGCAAATCACTATTCAAACAGCATTCCATGCAAAGCCCCATTTACTTCTTTACATTGTTTACAAATTATTCCAGAAGAGAGAATTGAAACCTCAATAAAACAACCATCTACTGAGGCCAACGAGTTTGGGGGACTCAGTTCCATAACTGAAAATAGATACCATACAATTTGCCCTGGGAAATAGCACATGTGCCTAAAATCAGGATTGAGTTCTACTGTTGCAAGAATCCAAGAATAATGGGATGAGTCAAGGAGAACATTTTACTTAATGTTTTCAGGTAAATTTGGATACTTCGATTAACATTAGGTACAAAAAAAAAGCAAATAGAAGTGGTGTTCCTATGCTGAACTGGTGGTCCATCTAGTGTAGTAAGAAGTCTTGGAAAAAGTGTGCCCTGTGACAAATGCTTCAGAGGACAGCAAGATTTTCAGAATGCTTCTGGAAAATTGTGCAAAATCCCCCTGGAGGAATTTTTTTCTTAACCCTGCTAGCAATCATCTCACATACCAAGCCATGGTGGCTACTTGCACCAACAGAAGACAAGCATCTGAAGAAAGTGGCTAAAATACTGACTCAGCGCCTTCCGTCTCAATCCTATCTTATGCCAACAAGTTACAAGTTATCACTTTATATTCTGTATAATTTTAGTGCTGTTTAAACTCTAGTGTCACCTTTTTCTGGAAAGGGTGAAAAATATCACTCAACTGGCCATTATTTTATATGAGCACCTTAATCATATCCCATTTTGTTCTACCCGATTAAGTTCCAGTGTTATTTTATTCTCTATATGGAAACTTCACATTCTCCTGATTATTTTTGCTGCCATTCTTTGGACAGTTTCAGCTACCGCCTTTTCAAGCGGTGATCAAATTGTAGCACTCAAAGCCAATGTGTATCACTGATTTGTAGAACACCTATGTAATGGTATTTATTATTCTCTTTCAAATGCAGCCTAATATCTTGTTAGTTATTCTGATGGGTGCTCTGCATTGAGCATTCACCTGTCCATAATGACACCTCAATGTACTTTGTAAGGTCTCAGTCATTCAGAACCTATAAATGTATGTGGTTTATTTAAGTTATTCCTTCCGAAGTGCTTTAACTTACAGATATTTACTTTGATAGCTATCTGTCACTTTGATGGCCACCTACTTAGCACACCTACTTGTGTTACACCAGTTAAGTTCTGGGTGCCTTCACAATTTTCACTAGTCTCTGAATTGTGCGCATAGTAAATTTTGCCCAATATATTAACCAAACTGTTTCACTAAAGGTCTTCTAAAATCTTAAGATATAAATCATCTTTCCACAATGAAAACATAGCTTTTCATTCTTACACTTGCTTGCTTTCTTAACCAGGTTTTAAAACCCAAGATGCAACACTTCACCACCCTGTGGTTTCCAAGTTCCCTTAATAGCCTCTTCCTTTATAAAAGTTCGTTGTCCATCTACATTATATCCAATCAGTTTTAACTGAGAATTCTCACAAGTTAAAAATGGTACAATTCACCATCACAAAGAACATGCTTAATATGAGGTTACGTTACTCAGTTCTTTGTAGTTCTGTTACTTTGTCTGGTACTGAAGAAATGCCCAGGGTAATTCACAGAATCACCCTCAGTTCCACATGAGCACATGGATACAATGTGATGCCATAACTTGGGCCAAGTGACTTCACTTCTCTATGCCTCTATGCTCTCACGTTCTGTCTTGACTATTCAGACTGTATACAGAGACTCGCACTGTGCTTGTACCCAGCCCAATGGGTTCTCTGTTGGACATTGAGTCCCTACTGTAATGAAGATTAATACTAGACGTCTGAGGGTGACTATGAAGTTGCACTTTTGTGTTTGCAGCTCAGTTAGGTTGTTTTTGGTTCTGAATTCTTGGATGAAGGCTATCCAGCCTTGGCTTACTACAGTTTAATTTTCTAACCGGGTTATTTTTGTACAAACACCTTTTAAGAATCAGGAAATGTTCTCATACCAACAACTAAAGGTAAGAAGGAGTTAACGTTTAACAGAGCAAATGCACTCAGTAACAGATGTGCAGAGAAAGAAATCTGATTAGCTCAACTGCAAAGAGCTGTGATACAGGAAAAAGCCAAAAATCAAAACAAGGTTCTGCTTTTTGAAGTTCTAGTGCTAGAGACCCACCAGACACCAGCCAAATGGGTTTCAATAAAGAATCAGAGGAATTACCCTAAAATAAGTGATATAAAGCCACATTAAAGAACTAAAGTGAAACTGCATCAGCCAAAATTAATAAGTCGGATAAAATAACGAGCAAAGAAAACAGCCTTGAAAAAATAATCTCTAACTCTTACACAGAGCTTGTCATCAGTAGATTTCAAAGCACTTTACAAAAGAGTTCAGTATCATCTCCATTTTGAAGATGGGGAAACTGAGGCACAGAAAGGCGAAGTGACTTTCCAAGGTCACCCAACAGACCAATGGCGGAGCTAGAAACACTGTCTATGTCTCCCGAGTCCTGATCCACTGTTCTATAAGCTAGCGGCTACAGACAACGTAGATAGAATGTAGAACTGGAAAATATAAGCCACAAAAAACCTTGCAATCACAACATTAGTGGGCATCTTGAAAATCAAATAAGAACCAAGAATGTGTGCACTCTCATAGTGGTGGTGGTGGAAGAATGCTCCCTCAAGCCCATTGAATTTGTGGAAACCTTCATTAATGCTGATACTAAACACCAAAGATTTCACCTACAAAAAAGCCATGTGACGTTTTTCAAAGCACTAGTGATAATGGAAGAACTCTGATAAACTATCTGACAGGACAGAATTTTGTTTTGGAGGCCAAGTCCCAGGAGGACCTGCTATTTGAGGGGACAAAAATATTTTTCCTTAAGCTCAGCCTGAAGATAGAAGCAAAAAAAAGGAACTTCAATTCAAAAGATGCCCATTGGTAGAAGATGCCATTATTTCTATGGTATTACTTATGATAAAGCCTTTATTTTAGGTACAAAAATCTTTAAAAACAGTATCTTCCAGCTTCTTCCATCCACAGGTCAACTAAGTCATGGTGACTCGTGAAGCGCAGAGAACGTGATCTGACCATGAGCAGAAGCCAGCTCAGATGGAATCTGATCAATTGCAGCATACGGAATTCCGAAGTGCCATGCTTCGCCCGTGTGGGATGCTGAAGATTGTGCACAACAGCGTCACCCATTTGGTAAGTAGCACATCATGCCGGACACACAGCACCAAGATTCCAAGAGCCACACTGAAATCCACCTAGAAACTTGCGGGAGCCAATTTGCTTGTTTTAAACAGGCAGCCGGGATCTGGTTAGCTGGGAGACCCCCTGTCTCCCATTCCATACAGACACAGCTGAGATCAGACAAAAAGAATTGAGCTAAAGGACTCTCAGAACAGCTGGAGGAGCTGCTGGCAGGACACTGGCAGCGATGGGGTTCTCTTGACTCTGCATTTCACTTCCTTCTTTCATCCAGATTTGTTAACCATCCAAACATGCTCCAAAACTCATTTTCCCCCCCTCACAGGAATTTAGGGAAATTGGGGTCACTAGGTAAAGGTGCTGGACATGAATAGTCTTTGCCTGATGATATGGTGAGGTAAGGTGTTTGGTTTGAGGAAGGCTTTTACTTGGAAATTATAAGAACTGTACTGAGGGTTTTTTAATTGTGTGCTTTAAATTTTAGAAGGTGTCTAGACTTCGGAAAAGGAGCCAGAGAAAAATGAATAAAATAATCAAAAGCCAGGAGAACGCTGACCACATTTGAGAACCTGGTAACTGCTCAAAGGAATAACAGGAGTAATATCTAATGTATTCCTGATCTGCAAAAGCATTTCAGGAAGCTTTGTGGTTAACAGGAGTTACATTTTTGATCCACACTGAAGTTTACACATTTTTTTATGGCCTGAGCAGCAGCATTACAAATTCATCTAGACAGTATGGTGAAAAGCACCTAGAATAGAGCAGTGGAGGATACTGAACTCCCTGGGGGAAAGTAAAGTACAACCATTCACCCGAATCACAAACTAAAACCACGTATGCCCCTTGCAGTTGTGCTGTACTGCGTATGCAACTCTGATTTCCCTGACCACAGACCATCAGACAGGAGACAAGGCAGCTTAGCAGAATGGCAGGCTCTACATGAGCCCCACTGGCTGGAACACGGCCCTTTTAAAGAACAGAGCGGTATGTGACAACAGTTGATATACTGTTAAATAGGAGGAGTCAGCCACGACAGTAAATACCTGGGTTATCCTAACCGAAGATTTAAATTGCCCAAGTCCTCTGAATAAATGGAGGGCTACCTTTCCTGTTTTCGGTAAGTGGATGCAATTGTGGTCCAACTTGTATGGATTTAATCTGATATACGAGTAAGGTGTTTAAGAACTATATTACCCTGGGTTTACTCTCACACCCTTCACTCCAAAAATTCAATATGAAGATTGACAACTACAGAGGCAGAACACAAGACGCTCAAGTTAATTTTTAAAATGTATTGTTTAAAAGGTTTAGACAGTAGTTGAGATTCCAATAGCCCTGAACAGCCATCACAAATTTTGATGTTCAAATGTCTATTCTGCATTTGATATTAAAATACATGTTTAAAAAGTCATACAGACTTGTTTGCCAACACTGGTACAGTTTTTAGAAGTTAAGCATGTGCATTCATAAAAATATCCAATACCCTGAAAAATACTAATGTATAACATCTCCAAAAAGAATGCAAAAGGACTCATCGCTGACACTGTTAACTGAAGATGCACTGGGAGTTTAAATACTTCTCTTCAAATGCAACTGCAATCCTGTCAATGCAGGTTACTCATTTCCCACTGCCTTTTGCCATCCCACTTAGTTGCAAGAGAAACATACGTGATTTCCGCACAAACAAGAGTTAAGATGTACTAATGTTTAAGTTGTTCCTGCATTTCATACTCTGTACTACCTTGAGACTAGGATTTGTGAATGAGCAAAATCAGAGTTGTGTGTTTTAGCAACCTCTGTCTAATCACGTAGTAGTGATCATGGACTCCAAGAGAGCCCTGTCCTGACCTCCAGAGAAGAAGCAAGGTTGTTGCAACACAGACACTTCACTCAAGGCATTGAAGGAGCTGGGACAAAGTTCCTGAGGTCTATGCCTCAGGTCAGCCCAAATTAAGATTTAAAATTCATACCAATTAAGCTTATTTTGCCTGAAATGTCTCAGATACAGACAGCTGAGGTATTGTTTTAATATCGAACGATGCAATTCCAATAGCAGTGAATGTGCAATTGTTTAAACATCACAAATATGATGAAATATAGGTACTATTTAACTATGATATCTAACAGGCATCATTACATACAAAGAGAAACAGAAGTTCCTACCCATATATCCTGTTTTTCACCGATTGGAAAGTTTGAATACAAGTCTATCATTTCTGGAGTCCTATACATTGGTGTTGTGTTTCTTGTAATCTGCAGAAACAAAAGTAAAAGTTCATGAAGCAGAGACCTGAACAATGCTTTATGTTCAGCCTCAGGGAACAGCGTTCCAAAAGTGTTCTGCTAAAAAGCAAGTAAAAAGGGCATTCTGACTTCAAAAGCTAGTTTGGGGCACATTAGTCAAGGTGCAAGTCCTTGCTTCAAAATAAAGTTACGAGGGAAGTACCTCTATGTAAAGCCTACAGGAATGACATTTTAACTGTAATTAAAAAGTACCTGCTGCAGTAGTCCCTTCAAGCCACACAGCAAGCAAAACCAGACTATCTGCTCTCAACAGGGGAGAGTGACACCGAGAAACAAGGAACAGTTATATCAGGGGTAGGCAATCTATGGCACACGTGCCAAAGGCAGCACGTGAGCTGATTTTCAGTGGCACTCAGACTGCCTGGGTCCTGGCCACCGGTCTGGGGGGGCTCTGCATTTTAATTTAATTTTAAATGAAAATTCTTAAACATTTTAAAAACCTTCTTTACTTTACATACAATAGTTTAGTTATATATTATAGACTTATAGAAAGAGACCTTCTAAAAAGGTTAAAATGTATTAATGGCACGCAAAACCTTAAATTAGAGTGAGTAAATGAAGACTCGGCACACCGCTTCTGAAAGGTTGCCGACCGCTGAGTTATATCATGCCCTTAGGATGCATCTGGAGGAAGGACCCTACTTTGTGCCTTTTTTCCTCCGCCCCATGTGAGAAGTTGGCCAACTGCCTGGCACCATCTTCTCTTCCCTTCCCAGAGAGCCAGCAGACAATTCTCCATGAGTTCAGGTTCCAAAAAGGAGAAGGGGACCAGAAGCAAGCAGGTATCATTCTTCTAGTACTCAGGACCTCCCAAAAAAAGAAGTTGATGCTGTCAATGAGCGTGCAGACTCTCACAAGTTAATGGATTTAGTTTGGGTCTCATTACTGACCTTCTCCACAGATTTAGAAGGGTTTGAGAAATCACTTAAAGTAAATCCATCTTTACCGCAACATTAGGGTTTGTCAGCATTACTAGTACTTAGCCAGATCTATGGACAAATTGCATTTCAAAAGAAAGGGAGAACATGCCAACATTGATACAGCTGTCCTAAGAGTACAGCAATACTGTCTAGTCCAAGATCTGTCAAACAGACTTACTGCTTCATCACATGCCACCCAATTCAGTTTGGGAAGCCATGTTTGATTAGATTTGATCAGAGTCACTGGGGTACAACTGACTTTTTACTTTTCTGCAGATGGTGAAAATTCACGTACTAACAGAAAATAGCAGTCGATTCCTTACTCCTCTCCCTTTTTATTAAACAGGTCATGAAAAAAGTTACACTATCAGTTGTGTCAAGTTTCAATTTGTGGTTATATTTTATTTCTCCACAGCAGAGAGTAGCAGGCACTCCATGGGCATCGATTAGGATGGGTGCTCAGGAAGGTAGTTTAAAAACAAAAACTGTTTTGTTGTAATGGCAGATAACATTTGAACAAGGTAGCAGCAGCTGACTCGAAAAATAAGGTCTTGTAATCCACTTCACAACTGAAAGGGCTTCAGTTGTCTTAGAACAGTCATAAATGAGGGAAAGTTGGGGGGTGGGGGGGTTAAGGCTAACAGAGCAGCACTAATTAACTGCCTGTCAAGTTTCTCACCTCCTCTTCAACTATTGCTCTCTTTTGTGCAGACCAGCTGTAATCAGGATAATGTGCTATAGTTGTAGCACTGCCAAAGTCACACAGCTTAATTGTCCCTTGGTTACTAATCAGCATGTTCTCCACCTGCAGGTAGGTTAACAAATTGAAAAAGTTACAAACATTTATGAAGGCTGTGTAGCTCATGCACACTTTTAAATCATGCCCAGGAAGTGTACAAATATTTATTAAATAAAATGAATCAATACTTAGTATTTTACTGCACATGGTATCCCACGTTAGAATGGACACTTAAGACTCTATTAGAGTAAGTGATAGGCTTAAGGTCCAAGCCGTAGGCAAAACAGGTAGTAAGCCCAGGAAGTCCAGCTCTCCCCCTTAATCTAGCCACTAGACAGCTTGCCCTGAATGACATGATCTATTTTGTGGAATAGTACATCTTTATTTCTAACAAATTCAATTCAAAGGATCTAGTATTTTATTTAATCCATGTCCCTCCATATGTTGGTTTTGCACGACATTTTCTAGTGCTTTAAGCTAGAAAAGACATGCAAGGAGTCTTTTACAAATTGCCCTTCAAGATTAATGAGTAGTTTAAAACCTTATCAGGAGCACCAGTTAATAGCTGGGGGAGGGGATTCTCTCCAGGAGAATTCTGTGCTGATTGTGAGGCCCGAAAAGGAAAATATAAATTAAATGTTTATTCAAAAAATTAAAACTGTTTTCAATAGGTCTCATCTTCTCTGTTAGCCTTAGATTGTGATAGCCTCAGAGCATGGAATATCTTTATCATTGTATCTTGAGGCTGCATTCCCTTGACCCACCCTGATAACTGACTCTTCCATTTAGTGGTTCCTATTCTGTTAGTACACTCCTTAGTGCTCTCCTGTATGCCCCAGGTCTGGCATAGTGGGCAGAGCAACAACCAAATACAATCAGCACACACGAATATCATCGGCACCCCCTGTGAAGACACAGTAAAATGTGCATGCTTACTTGGGCCCAGCTTTTAGAAACAGTGGTCACTCCCTTCCTAAGAATGTCAGTAGAGTGTTCATATTTTAAGGGGGTCTCTACCTGTGTCTTCCAAAACCAGCTTACAGGGACCTTTAAAAATCCAAATTTAATTCTGAAGAAAATGCCTCCCCTATGCTACAAAATGACTTGTTTTGTTCCACATGGCAACTACTCAAGGGGACAAATTAATTCAGAAAGTTTCGAGTATGAGAGCCATGCGACTATTTTCAAAATACACCTCTACCCCAATATAACGCTGTACTCGGGAGCCAAAAAATCGTACTGTGTTATAGGTGAAACCGCGTTATATCGAACTTGCTTTGATCCGCCGGAGCGCACAGCCCCGCCCCCCCGGAGCGCTGCTTTACTGTGTTATATCCGAATTCGTGTTATATCGGGGTAGAGGTGTACCCCATAATTAATGTGGAATTTAAACAAGTGGCACCAGTTCTTACAATGCCGCGTGCATGTAAATCACATTAACATTAGCCATTGTGAAAAGGATTGGGGGAAAGCAAATGAAGGAGTGCGTGCCACACCAACAAACAAAGGAATGAAGTAATGGAAAGTCTGCAGCGGAGGTCACAGCATAAATCTCAACTCATTGGAAGCTGCATTATATCAGAGAATTTCAGAGATCCTAATATCTTTAAGCAAAAGAATTTCAAATATTACAAAATCTTTGATGATACTGAGCTCAAACACTTGTTTTCCCACACAGCCAATACTAGAGTCATTCACTTTAAGGCCAAATAAAGAGAAGATATCTATATTTGTAAACAGTTATTAAAGCAAGAACATTTTAGTTTAAAAATGCACAGAGACTGTTTGACGTAAGCTTTCTCCTCAGTCTACCTAAACTCAGTTTTCTGGGAACAGCAGTGCAAACACACCTCCCTGGATCATTTTAGTGAGGCCACTGTCTGTTGCAGCACAAAGATCAAGATCTTGCTCTGAAATTTCCTGTAAAAGCCCCCCCCCCTGTGCGCTTCCTTTAGTATGAAACCCCCTTTCTCCCCCCCCCCCCCCAGCCCTCTCTCCATCACTTTGAGTCTCTGCCAGGGACAGGTTTTCTTAATAGGCACTGGAATAGTAACAGAAGAAATCAATAACGTAATTTTTATTTAACTCTGTAAAACGGTCTACTATAGTAGCACCCTACACAGAATCAGGGCCCACACTGTTCAAGTAGAGCAGAGTAAAACATCAGTCCCTGCCCTTGAACTAGTGTCTCAGGAAAAATTTCAAGTTTTAAAAAATGCTAACCCTTGGCAACTGCTTAGTTCCTCCCAACAGGATGGCACTGGCCACAATTTTACCTCAGAGCTCAAGGCCTTCCATACCATTTGTAAAGGACTGACAAAGGATGAAAGGTCTTAAAATAACCAATCAGGAAATAAGTGCCCCCCTTGATTAATTTTAGTTCAAAAGTCAATGTGCTCCAAAACCAAGCACTACAACAAAAAGTAGATTTTAGTGTCTTTTGAAACTCCAGCCATCCCAATCCCCCACACTCACTGCAGCTGGTCGCTAGGTTCAAAAGAGAACAGCATTTCAGTAGCACACTGACATTATGCTCCGCTTCCTTTCACAGCTTTATGTTTCTGCTATTAAAAAAATTCTTACCACCAAAATATGTGTGGCTTCCAGTCACGAGCTTACTTACCAGCAAATAGGAACTATTGTTCAGATTAAAGTAAGAGTGGGAAACAGACTACATGGTTTCAGTTTGAGCTCTGAAATTTAACTAACAGGATATTCAAAAAGTATTTCTAACACCAAAAATATAGATAAAGGATGTGGTCTAAACACTAGGCCATGTAGTGGTGTCCTTCATTCCCAGCCAGCAATCCCAACGAGATGGATATGTACTCATACCATCATTTGAAATGCTGCATACTCAAGTGTCTCAATTTCATTAGTTCTACAGCATCAACTTTGTAGTCCGCCCTGGAAGTCTGCTTTCACACTTCATTCAAATGTTGCAGTCACTTAAATTCTATACTGTACCTTTAAATCTCTATGAATAATAGGTGGTTTCTGTTTATGCATATGTTGCACTGCTCTGCAGGTCTGATAAAATATCTTCAAAACTGTATCACACGAGAGGGGCCCTTTGGATTCAACTTTCTTTAAGAATTCCACCAATTGCCCTACAGGAGATAGAATCAATTCATATTAGTATACAGATGCTTCAAGTTTTGGAAACGTGCCATTAAGTATATTAGATAAGTCTAAACGTGACACACACCTGTCCTGATCAAGAAGCATTTAATCCCCTGAATTTGACAAGAGATTTGACCAAGACAATTTTTGACTATAAAGAAAATCCAGGAAGATTTTTGACAAAGAACTAAGCACTAGGGAGATGATGTTGTCATACCAAAAAAAAAAAAAAAAAAAAAAAAAAAAA